TCAGAAGAGAGGAGAGAGAAAAACATCAGTGACAAGAGAGAATCATTGATTGGCTGCCTCCTGCACACCTCCTACTGGGGATTGATTCCGCAACCCAGGCATCTGTCCTGATGGAATCGAACTGTCACCTCTTGTTTCTTAAGTCAAAACTCAATCACTGAGCTAAGTTGGCCTGGCTGATTTAACATTTTAAATTTATCTTTTGTTGGGAAAAAGTTCAGTTCATACTACTACTTTGAAATAATAACATTTAAAATCTGGATTTCATGTGCACATGACAATTTAAAAGATGCCCTCCACACACACACACACACAAAATCTAAAACTAATAAAAGGAAAAACTAACAAAAATGTTTCACAGTATATGTCACAAAGATCTGATTTCCTTGATTTACAAAAAGCTTGTATAAACAAGTGAGAATAAAAATTAAATACAATAGAAAATATGGACAAAGAATGTGAAAAGGCATTTAAGAAAAAAAAATACAGAAAAAGAAATTCAACCTCCTCATAGTTAAAGAAATGCAAATCAAAATAAGGTTCTGCTCTTATTTATATATATTTTTTAAAATATATTTTATTGATTTTTAACAGAGAGAAAGGGAGAGAGAGAGAGAGAAAGAGCTAGAAACGTCAATGAGAGAGAAACATCCACCAGCTGCCTCTTGCACACCCCCTACTGGGGATGTGCCCGCAACCAAGGTACATGCCCTTGACCGGAATCGAACCTGGGACCTTTCAGTCCGCAGACCGACGCTCTACCACTGAGCTCTACACTGAGCCAAACCGGCTTCGGCCTTATTTATATTTTTAAATCAAATGAGCAAAAATTAAGTTTCATGGTATCTACTGCTGAGAAGGAAAGAAGAAGAAATGGACATTCTCTTGCATTGTGATTGGGTTAACCAGTTAGGAATGCATCTGTCTGAAAGTAATGGAAAACTTGTAATTACTAATCAATTAAACAACTGGGGATTTATTTTTCTCATAGTGTGAACCTGGCACTGTGTTATTAACATCTTGATTTCTTAATTTTTCTGGCCATTCCCTTTATGTACGTAGTTGTTTCACATATGTTCACATTCAAAGTAAGAAAATGTGGTAGAATATATACTGCTTGAGGGTATCTCTCTTTTTTTAATCAGAAAAGCAAAGTCTTCAGGGCTCTGCAGCAGTCATCTGTTCAGTATCATTTCTTATAAAGTTTAGGTATCTTGCTTCTCTAGAACAAAAACCATCTTTTATTAGGAAGATAGTGAGAGGAGAATATTGAATGAACATCTAAAAGTGTCTTGTCAAATGGTTAATGCAACTTTTCTAGAGATAAATTCTCAGCATCACCCTAAATTTAATTTACATGTATTCTTTGACCCAACAGTTTTATTCAGAGTTTACCCATGGATAAGTTTCTGTTCCTCTGAATTATTTAGAGAACTTGATAGAAGAACAGCTTTCTAAGCCTAAGCCTATACCTCAAGATCATTGACTTTGGGGCTAAGGTATCTGCATTTTTAAGAAATAGCTTACTAGGGGACTATTGTGTGGAGCTGTGTTTAAGAATTTCTGTACAGTCTATAGTGAAACCCAGATTTTTAAAGTAGGCATAAAATTGCCAAAACCTTCCCCCCCCCCCCACAAACACACACACACACACACACACACACACACACACGTTACCCACTGGCCATTGGTATGCTTCAGCTAGCTTTTTTTTCTTTTTTTTTTCTTTTTAAATATATTTTATTGATTTTTTTTACAGAGAGGAAGGGAGAGAAAGAGAGAGCTAGAAACATTGATGAGAGAGAAACATCGACCAGCTGCCTCTTGCACACCTCCTACTGGGGATGTGCCTGCAACCAATGTACATGCCCTTGACCGGAATCGAACCTGGGACCTTTCAGTCTGCAGACTGACGCTCTATCACTGAGCCAAACCTGTTTCGGTCTAGCTTTTCTTAATACAAAACAAAATCCTCCTTTTTTCCCCCTTTCACTTCTGTGAAATAATTCCAGATAATCCAAAAGAAGAAAGCATCAGCCCAGTTATTTAGGGAGAACTATTAACAGCAATATTTTTATTGTGTTTTATTTTATTTGGTATAAATCCTTACAGATACATGTGTTGCATATATATGGTATATACATAGTGGATATCTTTCTATATGAACACAGATATACATATTTCCTTTTTAATTATTGTTTATTAGAGGCCTGATGCACAAAATTCTTGCAAAGGGCTCAACCCTTGCAGCCCTGGCTTCATCTGGAAGGTGTCTGGCTGTCCAGTCTAATTAGTATATTATGCTTTTATTATAGATTAGAGGCCTAGTACACGAAATTGTGCGCAGGTAGGGTCTGTAGGCCTAGCCTGTATCAGGGCCATCTTCTACCTGCTCGCCAGTCCCTAGTCCCGCCCTAACGCCACCCACCCCAGTTCCCTGTTCCCCATCCAGCGATAGGAGCCTGCAGACAGAGGGTGGAGGGAGAGACTGAGAGTTGGTCAGTGCACCTCATAGCGACTGGTCAAGCAGACCAGTCATTATGGTTGTTACGCCATTGTGGTCACTAGGCTTTTATTGTATAGGATAGGATTATTCCATTATATATACCATTTACTAAAGCAGTCCTCTTCATACTTCCCTCTTTTTGCAGTAATACTGTGTTGTAGTGAAGGTTCTTAAAAAGATAAATGTTTTTGTTTGATTATTTTCATACATAAAATATGAAAAATTGCCATTTGTTACATTTTGCTTGACTGTCTTATAGAAAGATGTCTTTAATTATTGCCAATTTGATATTTTAATTTACATCTTTGTTAGTAAAAGATGTGTTCCTTTTATATGCTTATTGGTCACTTGCATTTCTTTCTTTGAATTGCTCTATTTAAAGTCTTAATCATCTTTTTAATTACATTAAGTAATTGTATATTCTGCGTATGTTTTAAGAGTAAATCATTCTTGTCCTGCCGTAATGGCTCAGCGGTTGAGTGTTGACCTATGAATCATGAGGTCACAATTCAATTACAGTCAGAGCACATGCCTGGGTTGTGGGCTCGATCCTCAGTAGGAGGCATGCAGGAGGCAGCTGATTAGTGATTCTCTCTCATCATTTATGTTTCTATCTCTCTCTCCTTTTTACTTTTTCTCTGAAATCAACAAAAATATGTTTTTTTAAAAAGTAAACCAATTTTATTTAACTTTGATGATAATCCCTCACTTAAAAAATAAGAGAGATGCCCTATACTTTAATGATCCACTTCCCATTTAAACTGTTAGAAGAGATTATGTGAATTATGAAAATATATTGTGTGCCTTATAGCATAAAAATATACTAATCCCTTATTATTTTATGGCCTTAACAATGAGATGATGTAATTCAGTTTTATATAATTACTATACAGATGATAGAACTTACACAAATATGTTTTTAATATATTTTACAGAGAGGAGGAGAGAGGGATAGAGAGCTAGAAACATCAACCAGCTGCCTCTTGTACACCCCCTACTGGGGATGTGCCCACAACCAATGTACATGCCCTTGACTGGAATCGAACCTGGGAACTTTCAGTCCACAGGCTGATGCTCTACCACTGAGCCAAACCGGTTTTGGCTACAAATATGTTTTTCATAATATTTACTGTAGAAGTTACTCTTGTAATTAAAAAAAAAATATATATATATATATGTTTTTATTGATTTTTAGAGCGAGAAGAAGGAAGAGGGAGAAACATCTATTTGAGAGAGGAACATCAGTCTGCTGACTCGTGCACATCCCCTACCGGGGATTGAGCTCATAACCCGGGCATGTGCCCTGACCAGGAATCAAATCTGTAACCTTGTGGTGCACAAATGATGCCAACCAACTGAGCTACTCTGGTCAGGGCTTTTACAATTTTTTAATACCTTCATTTATGACTTCTAAAATAAAATTAAATCTAGGTGCTAGGATTTAAATTTTATTGTAAATGTATTAATATATTTCAAATATATTAATATATTTCAAAAATTTCAACCTTTCTAAAACTTTATCCTAAGCTAAGTGATAAATTTCCCTCTAAAACATTTATATCTATGACCAGAATTTTTGCTATTTTTTCTTTAGCCTTCAAAACAGATATTAAAGATATTGCTGTTTTCCATGGTTAATACCATAGCAAGATGGTATTCAGACATTGAATTTTATAATTTTAGCTAGCTAAGAAACAAGCATTGAATTCAGATATGATTGCTTCTTTAGGGAGCAGGCACAAAGCTTCACTTACTTTATGGATTGAGGAACTAAGTACTTAGATATTTAGTGTTTACTCAAATACCCAACAATAAAACAGATGGAAAGTAATGGAAAACCTTTTAAATTTATGCTATAGAATTTCTTTTTTTTTTAATTTTTTTATAGGAAGGAAGGGAGAGGGGTAGAGAGTTAGAAATATCAATGAGAGAGAAACATCGATCAGCTGCCTCCTGCACACTCCCTACTTGGGTATGTGCCTGCAACCAAGACACATGCCCTTAATCGGAATCGAACCTGGGACTCGGGTTCGCAGGCCGACGCTCTATCCACTGAGCCAAACTGGTTTTGGCATATGTTATAGAATTTCATTTATAATATAGAAACTAATAAACCTAATTAAGAGTTATAAGAGATATCAAGAATTAAATTATTATATTTCTTTAATAGCTAATGAGACCTAGTGTTTTATAAAAAGATGGTTTTTCCCTGACTGGTGCTTTTCACCTGGTTGGTTGTCATCCCATGCACTGAAAGGTTGCTGGTTCAATTTCTGGTCAGGGCAAATGCTCTGTTGCATGTTCGATACCCAGTAAGAACACACAGGAGGTTGCTGATTGATGTTTTGCGCTGACATTAATGTTCCTATTTTTTTCTTCTCTAAAAATTATTTTTAAAAAGGAGTGGTTTTGATGATTCTAAATAAACATTTGGAAAATGTTTTTCTTTATTCTTGTTTCTACAGATCATTAACTGAAGACAAAATAAACAGCTATGCAAAATTCTCACATGGATGAGTACAGAAATTCTAGTAATGGCAGCACAGGCAATAGTTCTGAGGTAGTGGTAGAACAGTCTGCTGATTTCAGTACTGAAATTATGAATGTTACGGAAATGGAACAGTCACCTGATGGATCTCCTAATGTGAATGCAACTACAGAAGAAAATGAAATAGCCAATGCTGTGGACCTTCCAGTGGCAGAAACAGAAGCAAATTTCCCTCCAGAATATGAAAAGTTTTGGAAAACTGTAGAAAATAATCCTCAGGATTTTACAGGCTGGGTATATTTGCTTCAGTATGTAGAACAGGAGGTTAGTAACTTTTAAATGGGATTAAAGGAACAGATTAATCAAGTCATTATTAGACTGGGCCTTATTGTTTTGTAATTAAGGTTGACTTTTTTTATAATTTTCAGAGTCAGTTGCATCACATTGGGTATATATACTTCTTTAACTTAAAAAAAAAACCACATTGGTGTTCTGTGAAAAGTCAGTAGAGTCATGTTCATAATAAGTGCTGTGCATGTGTATCTGGATAAAATCTGTGGAATAAAGGTTACCTTGTAGTTTAACAGAATTAGTTCCTCTTTTTCAAAGGATAGGATTGCATTTGTAGGGAAAGGTACTGCTGTGTGTGGTCTTTAAACCTGCCATTTCTTTTATTTGAGATAACACATTTGAAAGGAATAATAAATATTTTTGTGACGAAAACTTCCAAGATATTTAAACACCTCATTTTATTTTCATCAGAATCACTTGATGGCTGCCAGGAAAGCATTTGACAAATTTTTCATACACTATCCGTATTGCTATGGTTACTGGAAAAAGTATGCAGACCTTGAAAAGCGGCATGACAACATTAAACAATCAGATGAGGTACGTACATCACTGAATAAAATAATTTCCATTAGGTACTGTAAGCCAAATAACAAAGACTTTTTTTTTCTTTGGCTGGCAGTACCTACGATTTGTGGTCAAACAATTTTATAGGGTATTTTATTTGCATTTGTCACTCTTGTGGCATTTGTAGCTAATATTTTCTCTCTTTGTTGGCAGGTGCGTTAAACCTCTACAGTTTGTCAAGCTTTGCAGTGCAAGCCTCTGTATTACACTGCAGCTTAACAAGTAGGGCAGGGCTTTTCTCTCACTTACATTTATTTCTCATTTTCCAAACAATATAGTTGGTTTGCTAGTCACAATTGCTACGTCTTATTGCATTTTTGGTCAGACGCTGTCATTGGTGCTCTAATGGGTCTGTGCCCTATGGTCTGTAACCCAAAGCCTGCCCACACAACCCGGTCAGAATGCAGGGACTGCTGCGCTTTGAAGATCAAGACTGCACGTGGGGATCAGAACATTGCCATGTTCTATCCAACCTCCACCCAAATGGTAATGGTAGATTATTTAAACAAAATTCCAGTAATTAGTATTTCTAAGGTTCATCGGATAACACAGTGTTACCTCTCTGTTAAGAAATAATTAAATATTTGAAGTACAGTTTTGTTGTTTTCTTCTTAGGTGTATCGACGGGGGCTTCAGGCAATACCTCTTAGTGTTGACCTTTGGATACATTATATAAACTTCTTAAAAGAAACATTGGATCCTGGGGATTCTGAGACAAACAGTACAATAAGAGGGTATGTGAAACTGTTAATCACATGTGTTCAAAGATATGTCTTAAGTTAGTTTTTCTTATGATAATAGAACTATTTGTGAATGCTAAACCCAAAGTTTAAGTTCCATATAATTTCTCTATTTAAAAAGAATACATATAATAAATGTATGCATGATTATATAAAAAAAAAAACCCACATAATTCCCCTTCCATTATTTATTTAAGGTATATTTTATTGATTTCAGAGAGGAAAGGAGAGGAAGGGAGAGAGAAACAATCAATGATGAGAGAGCACCACTGATCGGCTGCCTCCTGTACATCACCTACTGGGGATCGAGCCCACAGCCTGGAAATGTGTTTCTACCAAGAATTAAACCTTGACCTTCTCATTTATAGATGCTCAACCATGGCTATGCTGGCTGGGCTCCATCTCTGTTTTATACTTCCCATATGTTCCCAGTTCCACTCCCCTTGTGGTTAATGGCTTGGTGTGTGTTCTTTTAGATACAGCTATACATGTTTGTTCATATTGTCCTTTGATTTTTTTTTTTTTTAACAATGTTTTGGAATTTCTGCCATAAGTTTTTAACTATTGCAAAGTATTTTGCAGTTTCCAGGCATTATATTTTATTTGAGCAAATTCTTATGCGTAGGAAACAATCAGTGCTTCAGTTAAGGTCTTCATACAAGTCAGTATTTATGTAGAGCGTGCTGGATTTGGACCTCTATCAAAGTTAAATTCTATCAAATGTTTCTTCAGAAGTGATATTTTAAATTCCCACAGTGTATGAGAGTAGTCATTTCCCATAGCAGACCACATTTTTCTTTTTCTTTTTCTTTTTTCTTTTTATTGATTTTTTTACAGAGAGGAAGGGAGAGAGAGAGAAAGCTAGGAACATCGATGAGAGAGAAACACCGACCAGCTGCCTCTTGCACCAATGTACATGCCCCTGACCGGAATCGAACCCGGGACCTTTCAGTTCGCAGACCGATGCTCTACCATTGAGCCAAACCGGTTTCGGCCACATTTTTCTTTATCCTTAGGTGATATCACATTATTTTAGTTTACTTATCTCCAGATAGTTTATCCTGGTTTGCCATGCTTATCCTGGTTTGCCATCTTTCATATCCTTATACTAGAGGCCTGGTGCATGAAATTTGTTCACTGTGTATGTGTGTGTGTGTGTGTGTGTGTGTGTGTGTGTGTGTGTGTGTGTGTGTGTGTCTGTCTCCCCCCTCAGCCCTCTCATTCCAGGAGCCCTGTGATCAATTCCCCCAGAAAGGTAGGCCCTGCCCACCTGGCTAGGGCTCCTCAATGGATCATCCAAAGAGGTAGGCCTTGCCTACCCACTGCAGCACTGCCTCGGGCCAGCCTGGGCCAGCCTGGGCCTCCCTCTTGGGGCAATCATGGAGTCCCCTAATTGATTGATCACCTTGCCAGCTGGTGGCCTGGGCCTCCCTCTGTAGGGTGACCATGGGGCAATGGCTGAGACCCTGACCAGTTGCATCACACCCACCTTGGCTGGCTTAATGCCAGTGGGTGTCATAGAGTGGTCATCTGGAAGGTCTCCCAGATGGTCATTCTGTTGTTCGGTCGATTTGTATATTATGTATATACTTGTATATTTGTATATACTTGGCTGGTTTTCTTTGAACTTTTAAAAATTTTCACCCCTTCCAAAAGCTACTTTCAGTAGTCAGTACTAAATACTACTTTACATAATGTACAAATACTTTGTAAGTTATTTTTGGGAGTTAAAAATATTCTACTTAGCCCATGCTGGTTTGCCTCAGTGGCTAGAGCTTCAGCCTGTGGACCGAAGGGTCCCAGGTTCGATTCTGGTCAAGGGTATGTACCTTGGTAGGTTGTGGGCACAGCCCCAGTGGGGGCGTGCAGGAGGCAGCTGATCAGTGATTCTCATCATTGATGTTTCTATCTCTCCCTCTTCCTTCTTTTCTGAAATCAATAAAAATATATTTTAAAAAATATTCTACTTAGTATGAAAATTGTAAAAGAGAATTACACTCTGAAATCTGTAAATTCCATTTTTTCCCTTCTCTCTTTAAGCTGTCCCACCTGGGATCTTCTCTTCTGTAATGTGGTCTTGTTGTTCTGTTCTGTTTCTGTTATACAGATGTTATTTTTGGATTTCTTTGTCATCCTGATTCTAGAATATGTCTACCTCATTCCTGGGTTTCTAGCTCAATTTATTAAGAGTTTATTAGACCTTCGCTTTTTTTTGCTCAGTGGATAGAGCGTCAACCTGGGGACTGAAGGGTCTTGGATTAGATTCTAGTCAAGGACACCTGCCTGGGTTGTGGGCTCAATCCCCAGTGGGGGGCATGCAGGAGGCAGCCAATCAGTTATTTTCTCTCATCATTGATTTTTCTCTCCCTCTCCCTTACTCACTGAAATCAGTGTGTGTGTGTGTTTATGTAACCAAATGACTGGTTGCTATGATGTGCACTGACTACTAGGGGACAGATGCTCAACACGCAGGATCGAGCTCCCTCCCGTCTGGATTGGGCCAAAACCAGCTATCAGACATCCCCCAAGGGATCCCAGATTGGTAGAGGGCACAGGCCAGGCCCAGGGTCCCCACTGATGTACGAATTCGTGCACTGGGCCTCGAGTAAAAAAATATTTTTTAAAAAAGTTTATTTGATCCTACTCTTTCTTGGTTTATGTTCCCACATTTTATAGAAAACATCCTATTACTCAATAAAGAATGCTTGGGGTTTAAAAAAAAAAGAGAGAGAGAAAGAAATTAAGCCTTTTTTATGTCTGAAATACCAAAATTAATGGTCCAGTTGGGGTATAGAATTGAAAATAATTTTTCCTTAGGGCTTTGAAGGCATCTCTTGATCAACTTATAACTTTTTCTGTTGCTATTGATAAGTATGATACCATTCTTCCGATATTTATATAACATGTTTTTCCATAAAGAAGCTTTTTTATTTTTTTAATAAGTTTTTGTTGACTTTTTAGAGAAACAGGGAGAGTGATAGATAGAAACATCAGTAAGAGAATATTGATTAACTGCTTCCTGTATGCCCCCTTCTGGGGATTGAGTCCGCAACCCGGACATATACTCTGATAGGGAATTGAACCGTGACCTTCTGGTTCATGGATCAATCAATGCTCCACCACTGGGCCTCATGGAAACTTAATATTTATTTATTTAAAAAATATGTTTATGCTGTTTTTTTGTTTTTGTTTTTTTTTTTTGAGAGAGAAACATCCATGAGAGAGAAACATTGATCAGCTACCTCCTTAACACCCTGTGTTCTTTGTCTCATATCCTCCTATTGTTATATGGCTGCATATCTTTTTATCATTTCTTTGAGGGTATTAGAGTAGTTGATGGCGGCTCCTAGCATTGTTTCCTGTGAAGTTTTTTGTGTTTGTTTTTAATCTTTCGTGTCTAATTTCTGGATTTTTGCTTATATTGAGGATTAAATTTTAATAAATTGTATAGAAGCTCTGTGTATTTTATATTGGGGTCCAGTTTTAGCTGGCTTGGATGGCTTAATAGTAAAATGATCAGGTGGCCACCCAGTTTTTGTTGGACTTCCACTGTTGGTATATTTATATCTCTTTGTTGTGGTTCTCACTTGAGTGTATTTTTTTCCATTGAGTTTTATGGAGAGTGAGAGGAATGGAGGGAGGGGTAGAGAGAGAAGAAGAAGAAAAGAAAGAAGCACATCAAAGTGAGAGAGACATCAATTGGTTGCCTCCTGAACCTGACCTGATTTGGGTTGGGGGTTGAACATGGGTTGCCCTTGATGGGAATCAAACCTGTGACCGTTTGGTGCAGAGCTGATGCTCTAACAACTAAAGACATTGACCAGGGCAGTATCTTTACAGCTTACTAGTAGCCTGGTGCACAAAATTTGTGCACATTGATAGGGGTACCCAGAGTCAAGTCCCTGCCCACCCACATGTGTCTCAAAATCATGTGAGACCCAGACCCACTTCCCCCACGCCCCCAATTAAGCTAGATCCAGTCCTGGCCAGTCTCACCCTTGTCAGCTGAGGCCTGAGGTCCCCGTTAAACATTGCTGGGTAGGGGCACAGCCTGAGGTCCCCTGTCAAGCCTACAGGGGTGGGGGAGGGTGTAGCCTCAGGTCACTGATGATTGCTCATTAAGGCTCCTTAAGGGAACTTGGCCTCAGCTGTGGATGCAGCCATCTTTGTGATGGAGTGATAGTCAATTAGCATATTCTATCTTTATTAGATAGGATTCCTATGTCAAGGAGTTTTTTCATTGAAGGATAACCTGAACTTACAGGGAAAGTATACCTAGTTTTTGAATTCCCAAACTGGGCAGTAAATCAGATTTAAGGTGTCTTACCATTTATTAATCAGACCTTCTAAACATTGTCTTTATTTTGTTACCTTTTTACCATCTTCCTCTCCCAACTTCCTCCACTTTCTTAGTGTCTGATGCATTGATTTACTGGATCATTTTTGTTTCTGCAGGGGCAATAACATGTATTTCACTGTCTTGCAAACTTCACACACAAATACCTTACCTAATAAAAGAGAAACATGCAAATTAACCCAACAAAGATGGAGGTTAATTTTCATATGCAGGCACAGAGCAGCATGGTGCCTGCTATGAAGAGAAGGGGGCAGCAGAAGGAGGTACAGGAGTGGTGCTGCAACAGAAGCTAGGGCTTCCCGGCCTTTGGGAGTAAAGCCAGGAGAAGGAAGGCCTATTCTTTTATTTTTTTAAATTTTTTTAATATATTGATTTTTCACAGAGAGGAAGGAAGGAGGGATAGAGAGCTAGAAATGTCGATGAGAGAGAATCATTGACCAACTGCCTCCCGCACACCTCTACTGGGGATGTGCCCATAACCAATGTACATGCCCTTGACCGAAATTGAACCTGGGACCTTTCAGTCCGCAGACCGACGCTCTATCCACTGAGCTAAACCGGTTTCAGCAAGGAAGGCCTATTCTTGCACGAATATCTTACAGTGGGCCTCTAGTATACGTGTGTGTGTGTGTGTGTGTGTGTGTGTGTGTGTGTGTGTACCCATACACACATACTTTTAATCCTTTATATATATTTAAACATATTTCCTGCAGTTTTGGTATACCTTTTAATTTGTTTAGGGTATCTTTAGTATATAGAGGCTTTTTTTAATGGTCAGTATTCAATTTTTTTTTTAAATATATTTTATTGATTTTTTACAGAGAGAAAGGGAGAGAGATAGAGAGCTAGAAACGTTGATGAGAGAGAAACATTGACCAGCTGCCTCTTGCACACCCCCTACCGGGGATGATCCCGCAACCAATGTACATGCCCTTGACCGGAATCGAACCTGAGACCTTTCAGTCCGCAGACCGATGCTCTTCCACTGAGCCAAACTAGCTTCGGCAGTATTCGATCCTTTATTAGTTTCTGATTTTTGTGCCTATCTTGCCAAGAATATATAAACATTGAATTTTCTTCTAAGTTTTTAAAAATCATTCATCTGGCATTTAGTTTGTGTTCTCTGTGAAATAGAGATTAATCCTTTATTTTTTTAAATTATTGAATAATCCAACTTTTCTGCATTAATTCTAAAAATACTCCTTTATCATAAACTAAATTCTCAAATATACTTTGATATGTTCTGTTGACCCATTTTTCTGTTCCTAGCCAGTGTCGTCATACTTTTAATTATTATAGCTTCCTAGTTACTTTCTTTTCATATCTTTCAGGAAAATTGCATTGTTCTTTCACAAAATATTTTACATTTTTGTATTCCAGATGAATGCTAGAATTTGTTTTTCCTTTTCACCCAAAATTTGTTAGAGCTTTGATTTGGATTTTGTTAAAGTTATAGATTAATTTAGGTAGTATAGTTTTATACTCTTAAAAATCCCTCTTGAGCCGAAAATGGTTTGGCTCAGTGGATAGAGCATCTACCTGTGGACTTAGAGGTCCCAGGTTCGATTCCGGTCAAGGGCATGTACCTTGGTTGCGGGCACATCCCCAGTAGGGGATGTGCAGGAGGCAGCTGATCAATGTTTCTCTCTCATCGATGTTTCTAACTATCTCTCTCCCTTCCTCACTGTAAAAAATCAATAAAATAGCCGAAACCGGTTTGGCTTAGTGGATAGAGCGTTGGCTTGCAGACTGAAAGGTCCTAGGTTCGATTCCGGTCACAGGCATGTATCTTGGTTGCGGGCACATTCCCAGTGGGGGTTGTGTAAGAGGCAACTGATCGATGATTCTCTCTCATCAATGTTTCTAACTTTTTTTTTTTTTTTTAATATATTTTATTGATTTTGTACAGAGAGGAAGGGAGAGAGATAGCGAGTTAGAAACATCGACGAGAGAGAGTCATCGATCAGCTGCTTGCTGCACACCCCTCACCGGAGATGTTCCCGCAACCAAGGTACATGGCCTTGACCGGAATCGAACCCGGGACCCTTCAATCCCCAAGCCGACACTCTATCCATTGAGCCAAACTGGTTTTGACTGTTTCTAATTCTTTATCCCTCTCTCGTCCTCTCTAAAAAATCAGTAAAATATATTTTAAAAAATCCCTCTTGATTCTAAATTATTTATATTGAAAATGTATTTAATGGTTTTATTTCATTTGAGTTTCAAATCTAATGATTTAACATTGATTGCAGAAATCTCTTGACATGAATTAGGTACTTAAAATATATTTTTTTTTAATAAACTGTAATTGTGGAATTTTAGAATCAGGAGAGACTTTTGAAAGTTTTAAAATATATGTATACTTCTCATTATCATATAAGGCAGCTGGATCCTTTGTTGAATTATTTTCCCAGAAAATTATCCTATCTAATAAAAGAGAAATATGCAAATTGACCGTCACTCCAAGAAACAAGATGGCTGCCCCCATGTGGTCACAAGATGGCCGCCACAAGATGACCTACAGGGGAGGACAGTTAGGGGTGATCAGACCTGCAGGGGAGGGCAGTTGGGGGTGACCAGGACTGCAGGGAAGAGCAGTTAGGGGCAATTCGGCCATCTAGGAAGCAGTTAAGCATCAACCAGGCTGGCAGTGGAGTGGTTAGGGAGTGATCAGGCTGGTAGGTGGTAGAGGTTAGGAATAATCAGGCAGAGGTAGGCAAGTGGTTGGGAGCCAACAGTCCTGGATTGTGAGAGGGATATCTGACTGCCCCTTTAGGGCCGATCCCACCAGGACATCCCTCAAGGAGTCCCAGATTCGAGAGGGTGCAGGTTGGGCTGAGGAACACACGTGCTCGCGCGCGCGCGCGCACACACACACACACACACGCGTGCGCGCGCGCGAATTTCATGCACCGGGTCTCTAGTTTAAACTAATAATAATTGTGTCTATCTTCTGCTCTAAATGAATCCAATAAGCATTTCAAGTTTAACAAATATATGTTTACAGTGTGTATGTTTTGCATTGTAGTTTTACATAAAGTAAATTACATAAGAGTACATTTATTTATTCTCTTTATGTTTCTCACTTTATGTTTTTTCACTTCTATTTTATTGATTTCAGAGAGGAAGGGATAGGGAGAAAGAGATAGAAACATCAGTGATGAGAAAGAATCATCAATTGGCTGCCTCCTACATGCCCCCAATGGGGATCAAGCCTGCAACACTGACACATGCCCAACTGCGAATCAAACAGTAACCTCCTGGTTCATAGGTTGATTCTCAACTACTTAACCACACTGGCCAGGCTTTTCTCACTTTCTTAAAGCTGCTCTCATTCACTTCTTTATTACTACTTACCTTTTTACTTTTTTTCTTTTTTAATAAGTTTTTATTGATTTCAGAGGAAGGGAAAGAGGGATAGAAACATCATAGATGATAATCATCTGTTGGCTGCCTCCTGCACAGCCCCTACTAAGGATGAGCCTGCAACCCAAGCTTGTGCTCTGACTGGGAATAAAACCCTGATCTCCTGGTTCATAGGTTGACACTCAACCACTGAACTCCACACCAACTGAGGAATTCCTTCTATATTTTAATCTCTATTTGTATAGGAAGCAATTGATATAATTTTGAGTTTAGCATTATCTACTTGATTTTTAAATTTTAAAAAAATTGAAGTTTTATTGACATATGTTGTGATAGAGTAGCCCTGTTATTCATGATTTCAACTGTCACAGTTTCCTGCAGACAACTACAGTCTGAATATATTAATTGGAAAATTCAAGAAGTAAACAATTCACAAGTTTTCAATTGTGTGCTGTTCTGAGTAGTGTGATTAAATCTTGTGTCTTCCTGCTCTTGCGTGCCCAGGTTGGCAATAATTTCTTTGTCCATCATATCCACACTGTGTACTTTAGTAGCTGTCTAGGTTATTAGATTGACTGTTGCACAGTATCCAGTGCTTGTGTTCAAGTAACCCTTACTTTACCTAATATTGGCCCCAAAGTGCAAGAGTAGTGATTCTGGTGATTCAGGTATGCCAAGGAGAAGCTGTAAAGTGCTTCCTTTAAGTGAAAGGTGAAAGTTGTCGACTTAATAAGGAAAGAAAACTAAATCATATGCTGAGGTCACTAAAATCTACGGTAAGAGCAAATTTTCTATCCATGAAATTAAGAAGGAAAAAGAAATGTTTCCTAATTTGCTGAGAGACCACATTTTCGTAACTTTATTACAATATATTATAATTGTTTTATTTTTTTGTTAATTTTTGTGACTAATGAATAATGTTAAACTTTTATTAGAGTTATGTATGTATAGAAAAAAAATTATAGATAGGGATTGGTACTGTGTGGTTTTAGTCATCTAATGGGAGTCTTTGGTCTAATTCCCTGCGGATAAGGGGAGACTACTGTATATCATTTTGAGGTGTACAACGAAATGATTTAATGTTTGTATATATTGCAAAGTATAGACATTTTGCAAATGCATTTATCTTAGAAAGATAATTTAAAGGTAATTTAATTTTTCAGAACTTTTGAGCACGCTGTTCTAGCTGCAGGAACAGATTTCCGATCTGACAGACTTTGGGAAATGTATATAAACTGGGAGAATGAACAGGGAAACCTGAGAGAAGTTACAGCTATATATGATCGTATTCTTGGTATTCCAACACAGCTGTATAGTCATCATTTTCAGAGGTATGTGGAAAAATCAGTTAAAACACCTTTGATTACTCAGGTAATTAATTCCTAATATTTAGGAATATGTTTTCTTGCACGATAGTCATATTTTATTTATTTATTTATTATTATTTTTTAAAATATATTTTATTGATTTTGTACAGAGAGGAAGGGAGAGAGATAGAGAGTTAGAAACATCGATGAGAGAGAGTCAGCGATCAGCTGCCTCTTGCACACTCCCTACTGGGGATATGCCATGTACCTAGGTTGCATGCCCTTGACCGGAATCGAACCTGGGACCCTTCAGTCCCCAAGTTGACGCTCTATCCATTGAGCCAAAACGGTTTTGTCGATAGTCATATTTTATACACTTTTAAGTGTTGATATTTTCCCATATATCATATTAATGTTTAGGAATGTTACTGTTTTTAGACTTTAGGTTCTCCTTATTTATTTTATAGATGAGGAAACAAGAAGATTTCTATCTTTTGTCTGAGGTATTTCGGAGTAATGAATGAGAAAATAGAATCTTAAGTTTAATTATTCACTGCAGTACTAGCTCTGTACATGGCATATAATAGATGCTTACTTAAAACTTGACTCATTAAAAGTATATTCTTGTGATTCGTGTAACAACTTAGATGCAAAATAGCAATGTATGTATTTTATGTAGTAAATCCTTCATATATTTAAGTAATCAAAATAATTTTATCTCAGTTTTCTGTGATTTTCCATTATGATAGATAACATTTCATTTTAATTAGTGCTGTTAAAACTATTAATTCCACGTTCCAGTGTACTCAGAATATCCCATTCACATGGACTCAGAAAGTCTTTCTGAACAAGAAAGTATAATGACTGTGTTGCTTTTTTATTTTCTCTCATCTTATTGAGCATTTTCAGAACTGCAATCTTGAAATCTCTGTCATTCAACTTGTATAAATCCCGTGTATTCCAGTCTGTTTTCTGGGGACTTTTTTCTTTCTGGTCATTGTTGTGGTGGTTGTTCATGGCATTAGTTGTTCTCCTTTGTTTTCCCATTTATCTCTGAGGAGGTCTTTCTACTCTTTTCCAGTCAATGGTGCTGAATTGCAAGATTTTTTTTTTCCCTCTCTGGCTTCCGTAGAGCTGTACCGCCTCTGCTGCTTGGGGTGAGGCTTGTTTTACCCTCATAGAAATGGCAGTCCTTGACCTCCAAGGGTCTAAACTAAGCAACCCTCCTTCAGTCATGGGGCGGGGGTAATGGTGGGGAGATCTGTTTCTACTGCAACAGCTATTTGCCTACACACAGTACACTCCTGGAAACAATCCAAGGGCAACATGAGGTGAGACCAGGGAGTCTAATCAGTGCAGGGCTCTAGGATCTGCTTTCTTTGCCTGAAAGCTGACAGCCAGGCCCAATCGTGGGGGGCAATTTTGTAGGGACCATGTCTGCTGACTCACAGCTCATGCATGTAATTCAGACCCCTTTCACAAGATGCCCCCATGGTTCAGGCACTCACTCACTGTTTGTGTGCTTAACCACACAATACCACCACTCGTTCCCACAGCCAGCCACTTGGCTGGGTTAGCTCCCTGTTGGTTCATACCAGCTGAGGAAAATTCCTATAACCACTGTTGTCTGCAGACATGCTGCTGCGCTGTAGCTGTGTTCAGCTTCTCTCCCTTCTCTAGTCTCCCTGTTTATTCCAAGGAGCCCATCTTAGTTGTCCCAGTGTGCAGGTCTCTCAGGTGTGCATCTGTTTTGAGCTGAGTCTTTCTTGAATTATAGGTGTTGAAATGTTAAGGGGAGAATATTTTTAGGACTGTAATCATACATTTTTGACTTCCTATTTGGTGAAGTCATCTTTCTTAAGCACTTACAGCTTAATGTTTTCTTTGGGGAAACTTTCCCAATTCACCTAAACAGAAAGTATCTTGTCATTTGTGCCACCACTCTATATCTATTTATTTATATTTTTCTTAGCACTAATAACGTTTCGGTCTCCTGTGTCCTTTACATGTCTGTCAGTTTTTGAGCCTTATGAATTCTTTTTATTCTTAATACCTAGGAATAGGGCTCAATGTATATTATACAGTCAGCCATTGTCTTTTTCTTTAATCCTCACCTGAGGATATGTTTTTATTGATCTTAGAGGAAAAGGAGTGAGAAAGAGAAACATTGATGTGAGGAGATCAGGGCACATTCCCAGGTTGCAGGTTTGATGGGGTTCATATAGGAGGCAGCCAGGTGCTCAGTGCTTCTCTTTCACACTTATGTGTCTCTCTCTCTCCTTTCATCTCTAAAATTAATTAAAAGGTAAATATATAATAAAATTAAGACATTCTAAATTTTTTCCTTCCATTGGTGAACTGGGTCAAGTTGAGTTTTATATCTATTGACTGCATAATTTAAATTAGTTTACGGTGTCATTTACATACATTTGTTAAAGTTTAAAAATACATATGCCAATAGTCTAATTAAGTTTTAGAAACTTGGGGAAAAACTCATAATGTTGGAATATGTGATATATGTACAACCACATGTAAAGCCATGTCTAATAATTATATTGAAGAGAGAGGTTTGGGTCAAAGGCTGGATAAAAATCTGAAAGACTTTAAGAGGTTAGATTTTTAGCTTGACAATAGGATAAACCTACTTAAATTATTTTGGCAGGAGGGGCTTATGATCATGTTTACTATGTCTTTTGAAAAAAAATATTGGTGAGAGAGAGAAGGGAGAGAAAAACATCAATTTGCTGTTGCACTTATACATTCATTGTTTAAGTGACCTGATAGGGAATTGAATTCGAAAATTGGCAGATGGGGATAGTGCTCTAATAACTGAGCTATCTGGACAGAATTCATTTTTACTTTTTCATAATAGTATTGGTTTGGGTATGCAAATTGTGAGACTATGGGCTAGAAGACCAGTTTATGTTTATTTTGATGAAAACTGAGCAAGTTATGAAGATTTATTTAGAAGGTAGAATCATTAAGACCTGATATCCAGTGGAATATAAGTATTAAGTTAGGTGGGAAGTTCTGAATGGGAAACTGGTTTGTTGGCATTACCTTTAATCACGATTAGAAATGCCAAGCGTGTTGATTTTTGGATGAAGATAACATACTTAGTTTAAGACATTTTTGTATATAAGTTTCCAAAATGAGATAGTATAGATATTTAGCTCTTCAAATGCGTGTGCTTTTTTTTTAATTAAAATTTGTATGTATATAAATTAGTGTATGGGAATAAAATTAAATAGTCTTTTTCAAAATACTCTTTGCTTAAATATTAAAAAATACTCTTTGCTTAAAATTAATCTATATTTCTATGTATAGAGTGTTGGCAATTGGATATAGTAAGGTGTAATTTACGAGAAAGGTTTGGACTTAAGCTATAGTTTTGAGTCATAGTATGCTTATTATTTTATACAATATTGGCCAGAGAAATATACAAAAATAGGAGAAAATGCAGAGTGGAATTATTGGGAATACATTGCACTTAGGCACAAAAAGTAAGGGGGAACCCTCAAAGGGCAGTCAGAGACTTGGAGGAAAGCCAGAGAGCCAAGGTGAAGTTCTAAAAGGAAGGTGTGGTTATCAACCTTAAATACTTCAGACATCATTAGGATCAAGGTATGAAACGGGTGTCCATTTAATTTTGCATGTAAGAAGTTCTTCATGACTTGAGACAATTTTGTTGGAATGTTTGATCCAAACACCTGGCTTTAGGAACAGTTGGCAAATGAGCAAGGAAAGACAAACATTTGTTGGTCATTTATTAATGGTCATTTATAATTTAAATATGGAAAACTATATTTAATTTTACAGTAACTTTGCAAGATAGGTGTTGTGCCATTTTACAGATGAGAAAACCAAGATTTAGAGAAGAAAAAAAATTTAAGTAACTAACAATGGACAGAACCAGGATTTGAATTTATGCCTGTGCATGCCTTCTCTGTTCCATTGCAAAGGCAGGGAGAAAATTAAGATGTTTATAGACTGTTTTATCAAGTAGTAGGTTTTTACTATAGGGAGAAGAAAGAGTTTTGTGTTTTGATTTCTTTAAGTCAGAGGTCCTTTGAAAGAGTAATGTGAGATAGGAATTAACAGCATATATCTTTATTGTCTTCCTTTAGATTTAAAGAGCATGTGCAGAATAACTTGCCTAGAGATCTTCTAACTGGTGAACAGTTTATTCAGCTGCGAAGGGAATTAGCTTCTGTAAATGGACACAGTGGTGATGATGGTCCTCCTGGTGATGATCTGCCATCGGGAATTGAAGACATAACTGACCCAGCAAAGGTAATTAGACGTAAAAATCCTTTAAGCATGCCAAAACCGTTTTTGGCTCAGCGGATAGAGCATTGACCTGCGGACTGAAGAGTCCCTGGTTCGATTCCGGTCAGGGGCATCTACCTTGGTCGTGGGCACATCCCCAGTGGGGAGTGTCAGGAGGCAGCTGATCGATGTTTCTAACTCTGTCCCTCTCCCTTCCTCTCTGTAAAAAATCAATAAAATACATAAGAAAAAATCCTTTAAGCATGAGAAAGTAAACTTGAATATCCCTTTACTATATGTGTTGTAGGATTTGTAGCTCATATAAAGTTAATTTCTGATTAAGATAACTGGAGTTCTTTAGCTGGTATGGTTTACTATGAGACATCTGGAAATAAGTTTAGAAGGAATATTTTGCCTAAATTGTGATGGACTAGCCATATGTATACTAATAAAAGGGTAATATGCTAATTAGACTGGGTCCACTGGACATCTTTCAGATGTCTGACTTCTGGACAGTTAGGGGGCAACCAGGCCGGCAGGTGAGCGGTTAGGTGCCAGCAGTTCCGGATTGTGAAAGGGATATCTGACTGCTGTTTGGGATGGGGCCTAAACCAGTAGTCGGACATCCGCTGAGGGGTCCCAGATTGGATAGAGTGCAGGCCAGGCTAAGAATCCCTCTTCCCACCTCCTCTCCCCTCACCCCCCATATGTGAATTTTGTGCACTGGGCTTCTATTTAAAAAACATAACAGGAAATATTTTGTTAGGAAATTGTTACAAATTTTAGTAGTGTTCATTGTACTTGCTCAAAATTGAGTGACAGTTTAAACTTAACCGTATTCTAAGACTAAGTATGTGTGGATAATACTAAATGTAAGTAGTGATATTTTAAAATTTCATTATATAACTTGTATAATTTAAAAAAAAAAAACTTCTTTTTCTTTCCAAGCTAATTACTGAAATAGAAAACATGAGGCACAGAATAATTGAAATTCATCAAGAAATGTTTAATTATAATGAGCATGAAGTTAGTAAAAGGTGGACATTTGAAGAAGGTGTAAGTATTTTTTCTTTGTAATGGTCTTTGCCCTTTTCCCTTTCCTTCTAGTTGTAGAATTTCCACTCACCCAGCTTTTTGGTGGTTCTGAGCGATGTCCACTCTGTCTTCCAGTTGCAGTTTTAGAATTGTTGTGCGAGGCAGTGGTATAGATGTTTACCTTTATGCCGCCATCTTGGTTTCTCAGGAAATTTTTTTTTTTTTTTTTTTTTTTTTTTGGTGTTGGTTGACTTTTATTGCCATGTCACTTTATTGCAGATTAAAAGACCTTATTTTCATGTGAAACCATTGGAAAAGGCACAACTAAAAAACTGGAAAGAATACTTAGAATTTGAAATTGAAAATGGGACTCATGAACGAGTTGTGGTTCTCTTTGAAAGATGTGTCATATCGTGTGCCCTCTATGAGGAGTTTTGGATTAAGGTAAGAAAATTTTATGCTCTAAAACTTGAATAATTATAAACATTGACTAGTGACTAACCTTTTTTGTACTTCTGTTGAATGTTGTTCATATAACTATATCTGTTGCATTAGGAGATGGTCTGCTTGCAACCAGATTTGACTGCTGCATATGCCAACCTCGTTGCCTCTCTTCGTCCTTCCTTACAGAAACTAGTCTAGTGGTTCAATAAAGGTGCTGAATGGGTTTAAACATAGAATTTTATCGTTCTGTCACATATTTAATGGCTGGTTCAACTGTAAATTATTCAGTGTTTCCTCTGTTCTGTATGTAGTATGCCAAGTACATGGAAAACCATAGCATTGAAGGAGTGAGGCATGTCTTCAGCAGAGCTTGCACTATTCATCTCCCAAAGAAGCCTGTGGTGCATATGCTTTGGGCAGCTTTTGAGGAACAGCAGGGTAAGAATAAGGAAATAGTTGATATTTTGGGGGATTTTACTTCTCGATGAAGATACAGGAATTGAATGTTAAGGGATATTGTAAAGCAAATGCCAGTAAAACTTTTCTGTAAAGGGCCAAATACTAAATACTTTACACTTTGCAGGCTGTATAGCTTTTTTTTCCTCAAAACTCTGCCGTTCTAGCCCAGAAGCAGTTGTAGATAATACATAAACAAAACTGTATCAGTTTTTAAAAATTAAAAACAGGCAGCCCAATTGGTATGATTCAGAGATTGATCATCATCCTGTGAATCCGGTCACAGTTCAATTCCTGGTTTCAGGTTCCATTCCCAATAGGTGGTGTGCAGGAGGCAGCCAACAGTGATTCTGTCGTCATAGATATTTCTATCTCAAAAGAAAAAGGAACGTTAGCAGGCAGAAGGCCGGATTTAGTTTATGGGCGGTTACTTGGCAATACCTGGCTTACAGGATATTTCAAAAGTTTAAACAAAAGCATAAATATTTAATTCCTATTTCTAGGTAATATTAATGAAGCCAGGAATATCTTGAGAACATTTGAAGAATGTGTTCTAGGATTGGCAATGGTTCGTTTGAGAAGAGTAAGCTTAGAACGACGACATGGAAATATGGAAGAAGCTGAACATTTGCTTCAAGATGCTATTAAGAATGCCAAATCGAATAATGAATCATCATTTTATGCTATTAAACTAGCTCGGCATCTTTTCAAAATACAAAAAAACTTTGCAAAATCAAAAAAGGTGCTTTTGGAAGCAATTGAAAGAGACAAAGTATGTAATATTTGTGGTTTTGGAATATCTTCCATAAAAAACCAGGGGTCATTTTTTTGTTTTGTTTTTTAATTTTGTTTTGTTTTTCATTTTGGCAACTATGATGAAAGATTTGGTCTGTATGTAATATATTTAATTACTAAATGAAGACAACAGTCCCTCTAAACTGATGTTGCCATTCTTTAAAAAATAAATTTAAGTTATCAATTAAAAGGTTACAGACATTGCTACATTCTGTTTTCTCCACAATTTGAAATTGTATAGCAGATTTACTGATTATTAATTAGAGGATCTTCAGGAAAAAAAAGCATGGTAGTTACCTACTCTACAAAAAATGTGGCAGTGAGATTATTCCAAAGTATTTCCAAAGTATTTCTTTTTATATATCAATTGATAGGAGGCAGAGTATGGGAAATAACTCAAAATTTACATTTTTAGCTGATCCTAGGTCTCTATAAGACAGGTTTTATAACTGTTTGCTTCTTGCTGTTTAAGATAATTATCTACAGTTGTAAAGATTTAATTTACTGAGCAGTACAGAGGTCATTTTTTTATGTTTTAGTTTATATTTGTTATGGTAAGTCAAGCCACATTAAACTCAAGATAGGATATAGGACTTTAATTTATTGCCACTGAACAATTTACATATTGTATAGGCTATCCTAGGTTGATGTGCTAGTTTTTACTCAGTGAATGCTGAAAATAACATGAGTTACATTTTAATATTTAATTTTCAGTATTAAATTTTCCAAATTGAGACATTAAAATTAGGGCATTTTAAATATCTGTGGTCTAATCAAAATATCTTAGAAATATTATTAACGATACTACTTTTTACACAGGAAAACACAAAGTTATACCTCAATTTACTTGAAATGGAATATAGTGGTGACCTCAAACAAAATGAAGAAAATATCCTAAATTGTTTTGACAAAGCTATACATGGTTCATTACCTGTTAAAATGAGAATTACATTTTCTCAAAGAAAAGTGGAATTTCTTGAAGATTTTGGTTCAGATGTTAATAAGTAAGATCTTAATCATATATTATCTATTTGAATAGTAAATGAGCATTGATAGTTTGGGTTGGGAATTTGATGATTAGTACAAATTAATATATTGTTAAATTTAAAATGTTTGCCTAGGTTACTTTTTCATCAAGTATATCTGGGGTAAATTTCGTTTTGCAAATGTATATATGTGCTTAATCATAGGACAGATGGTTTTACTTCTTTCTAAACTATTCTTAGAATTTTAGCGTGGTAATTTAAACAATGAGTGGATGTGGGAAGGCAGGAAGCAGCAATGCCTCGAGAAAGGAAATGGATCAAGGCTTGAGCCTTGAAACACATAAATATTTGGTATATAGCCACTAATGGTGGGTGGCTTAGCCTGGAAGAATGCTGTTGTATTTCAGATTGGAAAGGACAGACATGGCTCTGCACATGATCCCTGATGGCTTCATCCGTGTGTAAAAGGCGGAAAGCTGAGGATGGTACAGGGATTCACTCTAGGGGATTTGGGAAAGTGACAAGTTTAAGATTTAAACTTGCAAAATAAAAGAGTAGAACTTTATTCGAGTATTGCTGTGATTCCATTCTTACATGATTCTAGTAAGGAAATATCCCAGTTCCTGTTAGACATGTGCCTTCCCTAATTATTTTAATTTAGAGTTATGTCCTTTGAAATAACTGTTGATAAAATAAGAATTAGTTTTGTGTCTGTATTTACACGTGTGTGTATACATCCTTGATGGCTTAATAAAATTTTAAACTAAATCATTTGATACATTAGTATATATGTGCTTGGCTTTAATTAAATGTTTTATAAGAATTACCTAATGTAAAATACATAGCAATCTGATAAGGGGTATAGGTACTTGTTATTCTTTCAATGGATGGAAAGGGGTTTAAAGAAAGATCAGTTAGCTATTACATAGTGCATCTAGCATTAGTTATTATCATCCCGCCTGGATTTAAAATGTACTTCATTGTTTGTACTGTTAGGCACCTCATAGCCTGTGTATTTAATGTCTTCTGTTTGTTTTGCACTGAAAAAAAAAAATTAAATAAAAAATAGCATGTGTAATTCTAGCTTTTAGTCCAGTTGGATGGGATGGTGATCAGAGGATATACATGTGTATGAGGTAACATATAACTTCTCAGCTCTGAATCAGAATGGATTTATCATCCTTCATAGGGGAGATAGGGCTTAATTAACTACTGGATACTGATAAGCTGAGGAGAGGATAAAATGTAAAAGCAAGTTAAAATTTTTATTCAAATAATATCAGCTCGATTGGAGGGTTTTCTGGAGTAGTAGAAGTGATATTGTTTTGTGCTTTGAAAGCTAGTCTGAGTTCAGAGAACATAGAATACACAACTGACAGGAAACTATTAGTGGTTTTATTGACATTAAATTTTAATTTGGTAATAATATGCAGACAAATCAGAAGCTCAATACAAATATGCCAATTAGATCCTTGCAAATACAGTTAAGTAGGACCTTTAGTATTGGGAAGTAGGTTGTTAAAATTTTTAAAAAGGTATAATGTGAAAAGTAAATGAACCATTTAAAAATTTAGGTAGCAATATAATGAACTGGTAAGAATTAATGTTGCAGTCTGAAAAATACAGGCTTAAATCCTAGCCCTGTCACTTACTGATTTATGTATTCCTATTTTCAAACTTTTTCTATGGAGGTTGAGTCTCTATCACCTAACCCACAGGTTGTTAAAGGCCTTAAGGAAATTAGTCCATTTAAAGTGCTTGAAAATGAGTAAACATTTAACCTGAGATTACTGGTATTAACAATTTTACATATGTCACACCAGAATTTTGTGAAAACTTATCTTTTTAATCAATGGTAACCAATTATACTGTATAGTTCTAATTCAGTTTATCACATGGCCAAATTTTAAAAGCATTTTATTCTAAATGCAGGTTTCTTCGATAGCATTGTTAAATTAGATTCAAAAGTGTACAAATTGTAGAATTGTCAGGTCTCCTGTTGCTCTAGACAAAAACATCAAGATCCTTGTCTTAGTTGTGTTGTAGATTCCAAGGCAGGTTCTTCTTATGTATTAGAAATGATAAGCTTGGCCAGCATCCCTTCAGCTTTAGACAACTGTAGTACACAAAATATTTTTCCAGTAGCTCATAAAAAATTTTGCAACTCCTGCTTTGGGTCATATTCTCATCTCTAAACCATTAATTGATCCAGCAGTATAATGTTATTAGCCAGGCCTAGATCTTTGAACCACATAGAGTGAAAAGGAAAGTACAGGGCAATGGTTTCGCAAAAGAAATAGATTTTAAAAAAGGTAGTTGAGGACAGATTTGGCTGCTAGCTTAAATAAATAAATAAATAATCAAATAAACAAAAAGGATGTCCATTGCAACATATTTTGTTTTCCTAAGTAGAGATAAGTAACTTTTAAAAATTAATGTTTTGGGTTTTGTGTATTTCAATGGATTTTTTTATTCCTTCTCAGGCTTCTGCATGCTTATGATGAGCATCAAACACTCCTAAAAGAACAGGATTCTTTGAAAAGAAAAGCAGAAAATGGGTATGTACATATTTGTTAAATCAGGAAAGGATGTTTAAAAGGTATTTTTCATTGTGGAAATGCCTGTAAAGAAAAATATATATAATTTATCCTCACCCGAGGATATGTTTTGATTTTTTGAGAGGAATGAACAGAGAGAGAAGACAAATATTTTTAAATATTACCTTTGCCAGGCCAGTGTGGCTCAGTGGTTGAACGTTGACCTATGAATCAGGTCATGGTTCAATTCCCCATCAGGGCACATACCCAGTTTGTGGGCTTATTCCCTGGTATGGGGCACGTAGGAGGCAGCAGATTATTGATTCTCATCATTGATGTTTCTTTCTCTTTCTCCCTCTCTGAAATTAATAAACATATATACTTTTTTTTTGATTGATTTTTCACAGAGAGGAAGAGAGGGATAGTTAGAAACATCGATGAGAGAGAATCATCGATCAGCTGTCTCTTACACACCCGCTCTGGGGATGTGCCAGCAACCAAGGTACATGCCCTTGACCGGAATCGAACCTGGGCTGGGACCTTTCAGTCTGCAGGCCTACGCTCTATCCACTGAGCCAAACCGGTTCCGGCTAAATATATATATACTTTTTTTTTTTTTTTTTTTTTTTTTTTTTTTTTTAAAAATATATTTTATTGATTTTTGTACAGAGAGGAAGGGAGAGAGATAGAGAGTTAGAAACATCGATGAGAGAGAGTCATCGATCAGCTGCCTCTTGCACACCCCCTACTGGGGATATGCCCGCAACCAAGGTACATGCCCTTGACCGGAATCGAACCCGGGACCTTTCAGTCCCCAAGCCGACGCTCTATCCATTGAGCCAAACCGGTCTCGGCTATATATATATATATACTTTTAAATAGTTTTCTTTATATTGTGGTAATTTAGATACTTTATTTTCATGATTTGAAAAATTGTTTACAACTCCAAGTGGTAGAGAACTTCCGTAAAATAAATGTACACAGGTAACATTTATCTGTTACTTATTGTAAGAGCTGTTAAAAGTTCGTTTGACCTTTTATGTAGATCAGAAGAACCAGAGGAGAAAAAAGCACACACAGAAGATACAATTTCATCTTCTACGCAGTTGATTGATGGTGATTTACAAGCAAATCAAGCTGCATATAATTATAGTGCCTGGTATCAAGTGAGTTTACATAATTATAAATGAATTTTTTGTTCATATGTTATTAGAAAAGCATAAATTAGGGCAATCTTTTATTTTAGGGGGGAAAAAAACAGGTCTTCTGTTTCAGGTGGTATAATACATTATCCTTTGTGGTTGGTTGTCTTAGAATTTCAACAGTGAATACATATCTGTTTTCTTACACATATCTGCTTTAATTTTGTATGAGCTCAGCCATAGTTCTGGTATGCTAACATGTTTGCTTTTTCCTTTCAGTACAATTACCAGAATCCTTGGAATTATGGACAGTATTATCCTCCCCCTCCAACTTGATGGGAAAATATAAATATCAGATGGAGTGTGTGAAAGTATAAAGTTATTTTTTTTCAACAAGAGATGTAAACATAAGCTTGTCATATTTGACAACTTGTCTTCCCCGTTTGTGTAACATATGATTTGTTTAGTATTAGGGAAAATGTCATTTAGTAGCTTACCACAGATACTATTTCCTACCATTTATAAAGTTTACTTTTTATTGGAGAACTATTTTTTTGATTTTTGCATTAAGTGGTCTAGAATTCTTTTGCAATGCATTTGCAACAGAGTTTTGTAGCCTTAAGGGTAGGAAAAAAACTGACTGCAAAATCATGTCAGTGTAGTACAAGATTCTGAAAATATGTAAAGGGCTGGTTATTAAGGATTTACCTTTCTGTAAAATGAGAAAAAACAAAAACAAACCCCACCAAAAAAAAAAAGTATTTTTAACCTTTATTGACCAGGCTTGGTCTGTGTGTTTCAGTTATCCCTATGAATTTGGATTTAACAGCAGAAAAGATACACTATTAAAATAGTATGTCATGGCAAAGAGATTACAAATCAGAGAATCGAATGTTTGCATCCCTTTAAAAAAATGAAAATTGTATCAACTTATGTTTCAGAAGACTTTGTATTTACAATATTCATGTAAATTTGTGAACAAGCTTTCATTTTGATCAAACTGACCATCTACATTTTTGTAATAAAACTGAAGCTTCATCCACCAATTGTTATGAATTTATTTAGAGGGATTACCTAGTATTGATTGACTTTATATCAAATGGATATATTCAGCTATTAATCATCTTGTTAGAATTTCTTCGACTTTTTATCTTTTTCATCCCTCTTAATCTCTGCTTCTTCTCACTATACAGAAATATTTAAATATTTTAAATGAATGTCTCTGTGAAAGCTATCTAGATAATTTGACTGCTGCTCCCTGGTTTGATGAAGTTTTAGTCCTAGTCAACCTAATCAGAACACTAATATTAACACCAAACAAATCAGGACATTGGGTACATTTTTATTGAGCCTTTTAGTTTACAACATGAGGTAAAAGGAAAAATTCTTAAGAAGTATTTTATACAGCTGTAGTAAAATATTTTAAACTTCAGGGATTTATAACATTACATTTCTTAATTTGGGGGAGAAAGTAAACAAGTTCTAACTCCTTGAATTTTCCAGTTCATTTCCATTACAATAGTAACCAGCTGTAATGAGTTACATAACTTTCTTCAAGGCTATTGCTGTCTTTAGATCAGAAGCATTGCTATTTCAATCAATATCCACTAACTCCACTTCAAAAATGAGTTTTGCATTTGGTGGGATTCTGTTGAAGAAGTTAAGGTAAATAGGATAAAATTGCTTCTCATTCCCAATAATTTTAGTCTAACTAAAATTATGTATACTGGATACTAGCAATTAACTACAAAGAAAAGGGCTTTGCAGCTGATTCAGAGGCTAATACATTCCCAGCACAGTGGTTCCTAATAGATCTTTATAAATACAGATTATAGACTGACTAGGCTTTAGCTTGGCTGAGCTATTCCTTATCTGTGTACCTAACTAGTACTCCCAAATTAGCAATCACTTAAGACTGCTGTTGTTCAGTACTGAAAAAAAAATTCCCCAACCTAGCTGGGTATAAAGTCAAAGCTCATATGAGGTAGTACCTGATATTTGCTGTCAGTTTTAAAATGCTGAGTTTAGAGAAGAGTGTTACTTTTATCTGATTGATCTTAACATGCTTCTCAGAGAGCTTCAGCTAGCCAACTCATTTTGATAGGCTTAGTAGATTGAGTTATATTTCCAGACAATTTTAATAATATTAGAGAGGACTTCCAAAATCTTTTTCCAAACTTACTCTAGTACAGTGGTTGGCAAACTGTGGCTCACAAGCCACATGCGGTTCTTTGGCTCCTTGAGTGTGGCTCTTCCACAAAATACCACAGCCTGGGCGAGTCTATTTTGAAGAAGTGGCATTAGAAGTTTAAGTTTAAAAAATTTGGCTCTCAAAAGAAATCTGAGTCATTATACTATTGATATTTAGCTCTGTGACTAATGAGTTTGCCAACCACTGCTGTAGTACAATGCGAATGGAACCAACAACAGGAAAAAACTACCTTCCCACTTAGCTATTTGTATCAACTGAGTTCTGGTAGAATGGTCTGGAGTTGGTATTTTTTTCCCAATAAGAAAAAAGTGAAAAAAAGTTACTGTCATTAGTATTGATCACAAAAGCTTATAATATTTTAAACTCTGTTCTTCATTTTATAACTGGTAATCCCCAACATGTGTTCCATTTTTATAACTGTCTGAAATTACACTGTAGCAAAACTACCATGAGACACATCTGCATTCTACAGTATGCTATTGTTTGTGTTGGGCAACTTAACTCCGTAAAGTAATTAACTCCTTCAGGCAACTGCCTGTCACAAAGGAAAACTTAAACCTCAGTTTGTCTTAAAAACTAAAAGCATGAGTAAGAGGAAGAAAGGAGATTCCAGCTCAGGTTTGAATACTATATACCAATACATAATCCAGTATCATAAAAGGGCAATATGCAAATAGAACTGAACCACCACTCAAAGCATAACATGCTAATGACATGCTATGGCTGCTCAACTGCTTGCTACGACGTGCACTGACCACCAGGGGGCAGTAGTAACCTACTTGATGCTGTGGTCCATCACCTCAGGACTGAGTAAAAGGGGCCAGGCATGCCCTGGAGCCCTCCCTAGGTCTCTCCCTGCCCAGATTGTGCACTGGTGAGGTCCCTCAGCTTGGCCTGTGCCCTCTTGCAACCTCTTCTGGGATGTCAGCTGGTTTCAGGCTCATCCTGCAGGCCACTCACTTCCTTGGGAGGGAGCCAGCCATAGGACTTGTGGCTGGCAAGTACGACTGTTGCAGTATAAGCCTTTCCTGGTGGTAACTGATGGGACATGAGCCTCTGGCATGCACAGTGGAGCTAGGATAAGTGGGAGAGGCAGGCAGGAACTGCAGGCAGCGTTGCACTGAGGGTTTCAGCCCTATCTGCTGGCCAGAGGGACCCCACCTGTGCATGAATTTGTGTGCCAGACCTCTAGTATTGGAGGTGTTGACACAAAAGCATCTAACTGTAAGGAATTCCAATCTGAACAGGAGCCCTGACCCAGAGGTTAACCTGGATAGCATAGCATCTTTCATATCTTCAGGTGATTCTTTTTAGTGTTTTTCCTTTAATTACAAAGGAAAAAAGGATACTTGGCATCAGGCTGTCCTTTCTTCCCATAAGCCCATTCTGGTTCAATTTCTAGTCGAGCCTTTTCTCCTTTACTCATAGTCAAGAGTGCTTCATCCCACTAAAGGCAAGAATATAAAATCAAAACTAATGATTCTCAAAAAAATACAAGTAAAACAAGGTTTCCTTCTGAATGAAATATAAGGCATCCTCCCGAAAATAAGGCCCCCCCCCCAGGCTCTGTCTCAGAATGCTATTGCTAAACATGAGAGATTTGGTCCACTGATTCTGAAAGAAATGGAGTCACAAGAAATTCACCAGGAAATTCAGGAATTGGATTGTTATGATGATGTTCCAGAAGATGATGACATGATTGTCATTGAATAAATGAAGAAATTCTTGATACTGTAGGATTCACAGTTTGTCTGGTTTGTGTTGACAACTACCGTACTACTGTACCATATTCAGGTAATACATTTCCTTTATTTTCATTTAACAATAAATGTATACCATATTCTTCTTCATGGAAAAATAAGGCATCCCCTGAAAATAAGACCTAGCGCATCTTTGGGAGCAAAAATTAATATAAGACACGGTCTTATTTTTGGGGAAACGGTATCAGTTTTATCAGTAAGCAAATTAGTTAGAAAAAATTACTCTCAACTTAGTATAATCAGGTAGCATTAAGGTTATTTACAACTAAGCCTATAGTTCCAAATTATTTTATATTTTGGGATCTGGATACGATTGAACCGTATTTTAAGACTTACAAAGATAGCCGAGACTGGTTTGGCTCAATGGATAGAGCGTCAGCTTGGGGACTGAAGGGTCCCGGGTTCGATTCTGGTCAAGGGCATGTACCTTGGTTGCGGGCATATATCCAGTAGGGGGTGTGCAAGAGGCAGCTGATTGATGACTCTCATCAATGTTTCTAGCTCTCTGTCTCTCTCCCTACCTCTCTGTATAAAATCAATAAAATATATTAAAAAAAAAAAAAAAAAGACTTACAAAGGTATATACACTGTTGGTTTTGATAACTTCATTTAAATTCGTTTGTTATTAATGTTTGGTGTTCTGTATAAAGACAGCTTAAGATATTAAGTGGACCCTAGCATGACAACCCGATTCGATGAATCTGATAGTCAGTACTACTTTATTTCTTGTATACTGCAGGGGTCAGGAACAGCTAACTTCCCTTTTTCTGAGTTTTCTTCTGTTATCTCACAGGGAAAGTTTGGTAAAGGTATACTTATGTTTGAAAGGTTTTCTGGTATTTGAGACTAAGTTGTGAGAGGTCAGGGCTACGAACAAACTCTTGCTTTGATTAGTACTTCAGTGGGATAATATTTTACCTTTATTGATCATGTTATAAGTGGTACAACTGCTATGCAATATCTTAAAAGAATCTAAAAGGCAAATTTTAAAAGCCAAACATACTACAAATTAACTTCTGAAGGAAAAAATAATAAAAGAATTAGGATTGAATATTGGAGTCTCTGCTATATTACATGATTTAAATTATGTTCATTAGGCTGTACTATCCTTATTTTTTTAGATGAGGAAACTGAGACCTAGAGATCTTACTAATTTGTGCCAGAACAGTTAGTGATAATAGCAAACATTTGTCATACTCCAAAGCTTGTTTTCATGATATCCCCAATCCTAATTCTTTATAGTACCATTCCACAGTAGCATGTGCCAGAATCTCTTGACACACTGACATTTTTTACTTACTCCTCTGATAACTTTGCCTATTCCAACCTTAAAACTTAAAGGCTTGGCATTTTTCTTCTTCTTTGAACCTGTAAAACAAATTTTCCTTATAATTAATGATGAAATTAAGTTCCAATGGGAAAACAGGAATTTAAGTCTGTTACTTGATTTCAGAACTTAAAATATGCAGAAAGCCAGGTAATTTACCAAGAAAATTGCTGCCCTACCCAGTTTGGCCATCAGACTGAAGAGTCCCAATTTCAATTCTGGCCAAGGGCATATGCCTGGGTTGCAGGCTCGATCCCGGTGTGGGCTGTGCAGATGTTTCTCTCTCTCTCCTCTCTCTGTCTCTCTCTGTCTCTCTCTCTTCCTCTCTGAAATCAATAAAAACATATTTAAAAAAATATTTTAAAAGAAAATTCTTGATATAAAAACAATTATGGCCCGGCTAGTATTGCTCAGTGGTTGTATCGACCTGTGAACTAGGAGTACACATGCCTGGCTTGTGGGATTGATACCTAAGAAGGGATCGGATCATGCAGGACGTAACCAATGAATGATACTCATCATTGATGCTTCTATTTCTCCCTCTCTCTTTTTCTCTGAAATCAATAAAAAATATATATTTAAAAAGCAAATAAATGATTATGATTGAAAACAGTGGAGAGGAGAAAGGACCTATATTTATACCACTAATGCAAGGTATCCCACCTTTTATATTAACACTAGAGACCTGGTGCATGCAATTTCTGCACAGGTAAGGTTGCTAGGCTTGGCCAGTGATCAGGGTCAATGGGGGCCTTCTGGCTGCAAGCTGAGCCTCCCTTTGTTCAGCGAGATATTAAAGTCTCACTGTGGGACATTAGCCAAGTTTAGTCTAAGCTGCCTCTTTGTTGTTTTGTTAATTTAAATAAATCTTTATTGTTCAGATTACTACAAATGTGCCTCTCCCTCCCCCAATTGCTGCCCTCCACCAAGTTCCCACCCCACCCTCTGCCCTTTCCCCACGTCCCATTGTCCTCATCCATAGGTGCAGTTTTTGTTCAGTCTCTTCCCACTCCCCCCACTTCCCTTTTCCTCGAGAATCATCAGTCCATTCCCCTTCCATACCTCTGATTCTATTATATTCACCAGTTAATATTGTTCATCAGGTTTTTTAATTCCCTTGGCTTTTAGTTTCACTTGGTGATAGTTACGTATTTGTTGTTCATAATTTTTATCTTTATCTTCTTCCTCTTCCTAAAGAACCCCCTTCAGCAATTCATATAATTCTGGTTTGGTATCTTGCTCTCTTTCTTCTTCTGCGACCCCCATAATTCTGATGTTGGTTCGCTTGAACTTGTCCCAGAGGTTTCTTACATTATCTTCAACTTTCTGGATTCTCTTGTCTTCTTGCTTCTGCGGAGGAGTGTCTTCTGGCTCTTTATGTTCCAAATCTTTGACTTGATTATTGTGATCTTCCATTCTGTTTTTAGGACTCCTCTGTATAATATTTTTATTTCAGACAATGTATTCTTTATTTCTAGTTGATCCCCTTTCATCTCCTAATAGGTCTCGTTTATTTTATCGGCCTTTTCTAGGAAATTCTTGAAAAACCTGATAAGCGTGGTTTTGAACTCTATATGTCGCTTCTTGTCCTCCATTTCTTTTGTTTGTGATCTGTTTCCTTGTCTTGGCATTTTCAGCTTCCCTGAGTTGGTAGGGTGGCTTTGTGTGCTAAGGTGAACTATATGGTTGTGGGTCAGCCTCCCAGTTACCTGAGGTAGACAGTCTTGGTGTAGTCCTATGTGGGCTGTGTGTGCAGTCTTGTTGTTAAGCCTTGCTTTTATCACTGGGAAGCATTGATCTCCAAGTCAATTGGCTATGAGGATCAGAAGTGTCTCAGCTAGGAGGGTTTCTGTATTCTGCTTGGATGGGGCAGAGTCTCGGGGTGGCACAGACAAGCTTTTGTGAATCCCACAAGATTGGTTGCAGGCGCGCGCACCTCTTTGGTATAGGCACAGACAAGCTTTGGATTCCTGTCTGTCCCTCCCTAGGAGAGTCCTAATGGCAGCGAACGAGGAAGCTAGCCACTGGAAGGGCTTCTGTGCTCAGCTTGGATGGGGCGGAGTCTCGGGTGGTGCAGACAAGCTTCAGTCAGCCCCTCCCTACGAGGGTCTGATTTCTGAGTCCCGCAGTAATGGCCGCTGGCTTCACACACCTCCCAGAGATCTCTGCCCTCTGCCTGACAGTCTGGCCTCTCCCTGTCTGGGGCCGTCTATCAGCGCAGTAGGGTGGTTCTATTTTCCTCCCAAACAAGAAAGCTAGCCACGCATTAGCTGTCTGTCCTCTCCGTGCACAGGGAGTAAGCCAGTAGTGAACTCGGCCCGCCCTCTCAGCGCTCCGCTAGCAAGCCAGCAGTGAAGTCTGGTGGCTGCCTTTTAGTGCGCACAGTTCACCACACCTTCAGTTCCTGAGATTCAATGTGCCTTCTCTCTCCTTCCAAGATGGTAGAGCCTCCTCTCAGCCAGCCATCAGGTGGTTCAGGATGATGTTTCCCATTTTCCAGTTCAAAATTCAAAATTGTCATGGTAGGCTGCATTCAGGTGTCTACCCTATGCCGCCATCTTGGCTTCTCTGCTTCTTTGTTTTTGCTTTTCAATGACCAAGAGGTCATTTACCCAGCCAATAAGTCGCCCCCTGGTGGTCAGTGCACGTCATAGCGAGCGATCAAACACCTGGTCAGTCAAATCCTGGGAGGATGCTTTGCATGTTAGGCTTTTATATACATATACACATGAATGAGAGGCCTGGTAAATGAAATTCATGCACGGGGGGTGATCCACAGCCCAGCCTGCACCCTCTCCAACCTGGGACCCCTCAGGTGATGTCCAACTGCTGGTTTAGGCCTGATTCCACAGAGATGGGGCCTAAACCGGCAGTTGGACATGGCTCTCACAATCCGGGACCACTGGCTCCTAACCGCCCACCTGCCGCCTGCCTGATCTTCCCCTAACTGCCCTCCCCTGCTGGCCTTATAGCCTGCAACTGCCTATGCCTCAGCCATCACCACTGTGTCTTTCTCTGGAAAGATATCTGGAAGATGTTCAATCTAATTATCATATTACCCTTTTATTAGTATAGATATAGATACCTCACTTTGGGATATTAACCAAATTTAGTCTAAGCTGCTTCTTTGCTTTTGCTTTTCAATAACCAAGAGGTCTTTATTTACCCAGCCAATAAGCAGTGAAATGCAGAGACCTCTTCCAAGTAAATCACAGGTGCAGAAGACTTTTGGAAAAAAAAGTGACAGCTAAGAAAAAGGTACTTGCCAACAGGTCATCTACAAATCTTATCTAATAAAGAGGGAATATGCAAATTGACTTTCACAAAGATGGCAGTCCCTAGTCCCCTCAGCCGCACCGGAGTCTCCCAGTCGTTTCAGCCTCGCGGGGGTTGAGGGGGTGGGGTGGCAGGCATGCAGTGCAGCTGGACCCACCCTCAGCCCCTTAGCCACCCAGCGCCGGCCCAAGGTGCAGGCAAGCCTCGGATGTCAGCTGCCCAGCCTTCCAGGGTGGGACTGAGGCATAGGCAAGCCTTAGATGATGGCTGCCCAGCTGCCCAGGGCTGCCTGAGGCTCAGATAACAAGGGCTGGCCAAGACTTGCATTCCCAGCAGTAGCAGCAACAGAAGTGTGATGGGGGATTGGCCTTCCCTGGTCACTGGCCACCTCCCGCACCCCCCAACCCCCTTATGGATTCCAGACTGTGAGAAGGGGCAGGCTGGGCTGAGGGACTCTTCCTCCATTGCATGAATTTTTATGCACTGGGCCTCTAGTATTTTATAATGCCTTAAAGCCAAAATGATTACATTTAGACTTACTCGTTTGAATATTGGTATCAAAAACAGTTCCATCCTGTAGTGTTCCTGTATACCAGCAGTGAACAACATCTCCCTTTTTGGGGAAGTTGGTTTTATCTCCTTTTTTAAGAACAGATTTTGTGTATTTTGGTGGACCCTAAAAACAAAGACAGATAATACATATATACTTATTAACTTTTAGAAGGATGGAAAAGAGAATACTTATAGCCCTGGTTGGGAAGCTGAGATAAAGCATCCTAATACATCAAGGTTGTGGGTTCAATCCCTGGACAGGAAACATTTGAGAATCAACAAACAAGCTCTGGCTGGTGTGGTTCAGTTGGTTGGGGGTTGTCCCATGCACTGAAAGGTTGCCATTTGATTCCAGGTCAGAGAACCGGCCTGGGTTGCAGGCTTGATCCCTGGTGGTGTGCAGGAGGCAGCCAATCCTTGTTTCACTCTCACATCAGTGTTTCTCTCCCTTAAAATCAAAAGAGAACAAAATGCCCAAAGAATACCTAAATAAATGAAACAACAACATGTTTCTCTCTCCCTCTAAAATCAATCAGTAGCCAACTGTGACCTAAGTCTGGTCATAGAGTTTCATAGATCTGGTAAACTATTTTGTCTTTGGCCCCCCACTGACTTATTTCAAGTCTGTGATGATAATAGTAACTCGGATGTTTATAATTTAATTTCTAGTAACTTCCAGTTTCTTGGAAATCAGCGTTTTTTATGTTGTTGTTTTTACAATAATTCTGTGTTATTCAACAAACCATAAAATGAATCCAGTTATTCCTCAAGGTTAGAAATATTACTATTCCTATAAAATCATAAGGCATTAAATAAATCATTGTAACATTTTCTTAAAAGATTTGAGTGGTTTTAGCATTACTAAACCCTTTTAATATATAATGAATAGTTATGTTGGATTTGTTTCTGAACTTGAAAAGAAGTTCCCACAATGAATGAAATTATCTACAGACATTACCATAACATGTGCATTTCATAGAACAAAGCAGGATTATTAGGATCTCTTTTAATTTTTTTAGTCAAAGGTTAATCTAATCAATGGTGGTTCATATATTGTGAGGAAAGCAATGTCTTAGGCATATTTAATGTATAGAAATTGTATAGTATAAAACACTTAGTTATGGGAAAGGAAGTAAGAGATATTAAACACCTATTGTTTACCCATCACTTAACACATAACATCCCACTTAACCCTAACAATCCTATGAAGGAAGGTATTACCTACTTGTATTTTTGCAGATGAGACTGAGGTTCAAGGAATTTATGCAACAGAGCTAGTGAGTAGTAAAAAATAAATATAAACTTTAGTTTGAATCCAAAGCCCCTATTTTTTCCACTACACCCAAGTACCCCAAGTAATAGTGATAATAACCTTTACTGATGTTAATAATATCTATTGAATGCCTTACATGCCAGGCACTATTCCAATGCCTTACATAAATTGCCTTTCTTTCACCCAGTGTGATTCAATGGTTGAGAGTTGACCTACGAACCAGAAAGTCAAGTTCCATTCTTGTACAGGGCCCATGCTTGTGTTGCAGGCTCAATTCCTGGTGGGGATATGCAGGAGGCAGCAATAGATGATTCTCTCTTATCATTGATGTTTTTATCTCTCTCTCCTCCCTTCCTTTCTGAAATCAATAAAAAAATATATTTTAAAAATGGCTTTTTTTCCTTAAAATTTTTTTTTTCAATTACAGTTTGCATTCAATAATATTTTGAAATTCAATATTCAATTTCAGGTGTATATCAAAATATATAATCAAATAGTTTACAAAGTGATCCCCTAATATTGCAAGTATCTATCTGGCACCATACATATTTGTTACAATAAACTGACTTTTAATTTTCACTTCCCTGTGAGGTAGTCACTGTTATCCCTATTTTGCCAATAAGGAAACATAAGGATGGAGTGGTTAAGTAATTTGGTTAAGGCCCTACAGCTCCTCGGTGGCTGAGCAGAATTGGAAACACGGCAGCTTGAATATAAAGTCCATGATCTTAAATATTTTACTATCACAAGCACATATGGAAGTCAGGTGATATATAGAAGTCATTTTCTTATATCAATTAATTTCACAGCAATCTGACAGTTTTTACCCCATCTTTTTTTTCTTGAATAAATATATTTTTTTGATTTTTTACAGAGAGGAAGAGAGAGGGATAGAGAGCTAGAAACATCAATGAGAGAGAAACATCGACCAGCTGCCTACTGGGGATGTGCCTGCAACCAACGTACATGCCCTTGACCTGAATCAAACCTGGGACCTTTCAGTCCGAAGACCGATGCTCTATCCACTGAGCCAAACCAATTTCGGCTTTACGCCATCTTTTGGAGATAAAAGGCTTGGATAGGTTAAAAATCCCTATCCACTTTTTAGGATTAGCACTTTGAACTAAAGCTAAGCTGTCATCCTAAATCAAAAGAAAGTCACCTATAGCTTGAGTACAATGTGCAGTATAAAAGTAAACATTATTTTCCCCCCTGACACTCCCAGTATAATAAGCTTACTTTATGGTGCTATAAATGGTCAGGTGTCTACTGGTAGCAGTGTGAACTGGTATCATATCCTTTGAATACAATTTAAAGATGTTTAACGTGTAACAAATAATTCCATTTATAGAAATATATGCTCAAGAAGTAATTTGAATCTTAGGGGAAAAAATCGTTATGCAGTTACCGGATACACTATTATCCATAATGGCAAAATAACCACACATTTTATGATAATATGTTGTTTTCAATAGTGGAAAAATTCTAAAAAAGAAAACACAAAAAGAAAAAAATAGAGAAACCAAGATGGCAGCCTAGGTAACCATGTAAGCTGCCGCCTCACACAACAATTTCAAAACAACAACTAAAAGACAGAACGGGCCGAAACCGGTTTGGCTCAGTGGATGGAGTGTCAGTCTGCGACTGAAAAGTCCTAGGTTCGATTTCGGTCAAGGGCATGTACATTGGTTGTGGGCACATCCCCAGTGGGGGGTATGCAGGAGGCAGCTGGTCAATGTTTCTCTCTCATCGATGTTTCTGTCTATCCCTCTCCCTTCCTCTCTGTAAAAAATCAATAAAATAGATTTTAAAAAATAAATAAATCAAAATAAAATAAAATAAAAGAGAACGGACACCATCCAAAACCACAGGAAAGCTGGCAGACTGGGAAATCTACAATTAGAAAGAGGGAGAGAGGCTCACGGATCGGATTGGGAGCCACAAAGCGCTGAGGTAGGGAGACGCTTGTGCACAGAGAGGAAGGGCAATCGAATGCCTGGCTGGCAGGAGGGGAAAAGAAGACCCCGATTGCACTGAACACTTTCCGACTGCAATGAACCTCAATCCTGGCCGAAACCCCAGGGATCCAGGCTCATACAGGTGGAGTCCGGACTGTAGAGAAAGGCACCTGGAGATTCAGAGACTGGAAGACTGGGGGAGCCAGGAGCTGCAGCGGGCAGGGTCTACAGTTGTGCACCAGTGAGTGCTCACAGAGAGGTCTGACAGTGGAGGTTGCCATGGCCTCTCCATAGCGGAAGGAGTCAGAAGCTCCAGACTGCAAAGACCCAACCCAATTCCGGGGGAGCCCCTGGGGCACCCAAGCTCTTGCACAGGGAATCTGAGACGGTCAGGCGGGAACTCAGGGGAGCCACAGAAGGCAGAGGTCTGAGGCTCTGAGGCTCGCACACAAGGGCAGGGCAGAGCTAACGGGAAGCCAAAAATGTCAGCTCAGCCCTGAGACTCCACCCTATCCAAGCTGAGCACAGAGGATTTTGCAATTTTGCAAGTCTGATCCTATAAGACTATCTCCAATACAGAAGGTATCCTGCCTTAGACACAGCTGATACTCACATCAATGGGCCTGGAGGTCAATTCCTCCCAGTGATACCAACAACAATCAAGACTTAACTACAACAAGGTTGTGCACGCAGTCCACAAAGGGGTACAACAAGTGTGTCAACCTCAGGTAACTGGGGAGGCTGACCCACTGGGACATATAGGACACCAAACACACAAAGCCATCCTACCAACTCTGCAAAGCAGCAAAAATGTCAAGACAAGGAAATGGATCTCAAACGAAAGAGATGGAGGAGAACAAAAGACCAGATATAGATTTCAAAACCATGATTATAAGGTTTTTCAAGAATTTCCTAGAAAAGGCCAATAAATTTAATGGCTTAGAAATTAAACAAACACTGACTAAAATAAAAATATTATACAGAGATCCAACAGCAGACTGGAGGAACACAAGAATCTGAATGTTATGAATGCTGCCCAGCAGAAATATGAGCTACAAATGTAATTTTAAGCTGTTTAGTTCTACATTAAACCAATACATTAAACATATTTCAACATGTAGTCAATATAAAAAATACTGAGGTTTTTACATCCTTTTAAAGAAATCATACTAAGCCTTTCCTAGGCCAGCACTCTAATCACTGAGAAAACCCAGCCAAGGCCCAAATGGTTATTCTAGTAAGTTTTCTATAGTAATATTTTGCAAACCATACCATGCTCAAGAATCTTTATTAAGTCTATCAGTCTAGAATTACACTGTCCCATTCAGTAGTCACTAGGCATGAACAGAGAAAGCAGACTGCAGGAATCAGTAAAGTACTGGTCCAAAGGCTATAGAATCCACATGCTAGGAAGACAATGAAAGCACATAATTGGGTTCAGGCTGGCCAGCTAAATAAAATGAAATGAAGAGTTCCTGTCCTAGCTGGTTTGGCCAAGTGGATAGTATTGGCCTGTGGACTGAACGGTCTTGGGTTTAATTCCTAGATTCAACCTGCTTGGGTTGCAGGTTCCATTCCCAAGAGGGGGCATTCAAGAGGCAGATCAATGATTCTCATTATTGATGTCTCTTTCTCTCTTTCTCCCTCTCTGAAATAAAATTGTATTAAGAAAAGATTATTAAGAGCAACATGATCACAAAACCCTGAAGGCTACTATTTGTAAATGCAAGATGAAAACTGGTGGGAGTAACTCAGTTTATATGACACAAGATTATGGTCAAGAACAGCAGTCACTTCCACTTTATTTTTAGTTCTGACACGACATTAACTCACGGATCAAAAATAAAAAGGTCTTGCCGAAACTGGTTTGGCTCAGTGGATAGAGCGTCGGCCTGCAGACTGAAGGGTCCCAGGTTCGATTCCGGTTGAGGGCACGTACCTTGGTTGTGGGTGCATCCTAGTCGATGTTTCTCTCTCATCGACATTTCTCAATTCTCTCTCAATTCTCAATTCCTCTCTGTGTAAAAACAATTAAAAAAAAAAAAAAAAAAAAAAAAAAAAAGGTACACAGCAACTAAAAAGAAAAAAAAAAAGTGAAAGGTCTCAAACAAAAGGATATAGTTTAGGACCCTCACAGGATATCTCTGGATTGTCTCCAGCCCTAACTGCTTTTTATTTGTAAGTCTCTTTTAACCTTTTAATGATACACTATCAGCTGCCTCATACTTCCCTTATTCTAATTTTCTGTAAGGTAAACTATGTTGCCAATTGCTTTGCAATCCTTTTAATAATTATTATGCCTCTATTTACCTTATTAGCTGCTCAATATTTGCTGACTATAACATGTATTAAATAATATACTTGTAATAAACCTCAAAATTGCTTGATTGTGTGTACATTTCCACAAACATTAATATTTGCTTTTCAACCAACAGGAAAAGGTTATGCAAATTAACTAGCTTTAGTCATAAAACATTTATACTTCTATACTTGATCTTATTTATACTCTTTCCACTAATACCCAAATGTTTCACCTTATCAATAGGCTACACCTCTTTACAATAACTAATAATATTATTATTAGGTTATTATCACTGATACTAAGACTGCCAGGAATGAGTGAGCATAGTTATTATCCAAAGTGGCAAAATTATAATCAGTTCGGCTCGACTGAGGCTGTCTATGAAGCTGTTTTTATCTTCATGAAGGCCGTGCATCTGCAGAAATGATTTTACCTGGTTCTTCAAATCTTTGTCCAAAATATAAAACCTGGGCTGGTAAAGATTAGAAGATGAATTTATACCCTTCAGCCAGGCCTGGACTATTTCTAATGCCAAGGACACTATGTACATTTGGAAAAGCTAAAAATAACCAAAACAAAGTTTATTTCACTCAGTCCAACTTGGCTATAGAATGAGGATCTTAAAATAGCTTTGAAAGCTCAGAAGTTCTGGGCAGACATAGAAGCAATATAAAAAGAAAAGCTAGCTCTGGCCAGTGTGGCACAGTTGGTAGGAGCATGATCCCATACACAGAAAGGTCCTGGGTTTGATTCCTAGTCAGGGCACATACCTATCTTTAGGGCCCATCTCCAGCCCCAACCGAGGTTTCTCTTTCACATTGATGTCTCTCCCCCTCCCTTTTCCTCTCTCTAAAAATCAAAGAAAATATTCCAAGATGAGGATTTAAAACAAACAAAAACAAAACAAAACAAAAAAACAACCAAAGCTAGAGATATATCAAAGGAAAGCCTTCCTGACTGTACAGCACAGGTTCTTAGGCTTCCTCACCTGGCCCCCACAGCTTAGGCCTTTTTCTGATTCAGTACACCTAATAGAAATACTCTGCAAATCGTCGAAACCAGTTTGGCTCAGTGGATAGAGCGTCGGCCTGTGGATTGAAAGGTCCCAGGTTCGATTCCGGTCAAGGGCATGTACCTTGGTTGCGGGCACATCCCCAGTAGAGTGTGTGCAAGAGGCAGCTGATAAATGATTCTCTCTCATTGATGTTTCTAGCTCTCTTCCTCTCAGTAAAAAATCAATAAAATATATTTTAAAAAAAAGAAAAGAAATACTCTGCAAATCAGTGTTTGGCTTACTGTTAAATGGGCATATTCAACTACCCCTCATTATGAGAAATCAGGGCTGCAAAATAAATACTTTTCTCAAATTCACATGAGAACTAAATAAGAAAATATTATATACAAACCTCATCCAGAGTCTCTTCAGTCTTGGTTTCTTTGGGTATATCTTCATTAAGCTTCACATTTTTCACCTGCTCAGACACTTTATTTATACTTTCAGTACCCTTGAAACGCTGTAGGGAAAAGAATGTTTATCATATTCACGACTGGCTAAAAGATAGGATAGAGATCTAGATATTTAGTTTCAATTAAATGAACTACATTAATGTAAATAAATAGATACTGCCTAAGAACAAATCATTTATATTAAACATTTTAATCAACACATTGTGACTCTCAAACTCTCATCTCACAATATAAATTCAGAAAGGAAAATTATGACTTAGGGATATGAATATTATTCAAACAACTCCTTAATATTCTTTTATGTAAGAGATGGTCATTTCATAGTGAACACATAGTGGGGAATGTCTTAAAATTTGGTTTTCTAAAGGCTCAGCATAAGTCTAACAGATTGTAAGTTCATTAATGAAATGGAACTTACTTTGGATTTATAATTTTTCAGTGTCCTTCAGAATTTATTAAAAGAAAAAAAATTGTTGTCTTAAACGACTAGAGAATTATTTGAAAAACCTGGTCTGTTTCAAAATACAAAACATCCTGCTAAACTGCAGACTAACCATGCTAGATCTGAAAGCTAGTTTATTTATGGATACAATTAAGAAAATTTGCAGGTGTAAAAACTTCAACATATTCTGCAAATAAATGCATTCAAATTTAATGTGGGAAATATTCAAAATAATACTTTGGCAATCCTATCTATAAAAGAGTAGTATGCAAATTGACTATCTCCACTACACCCACCAGCAAATCAGGAGAGTACGCAAATTAACCCAACCAAGACAGCTGCAGCCACAGAGAGAGCAGGAGGCTTGAGTTTCTCTGGCAATGGAAGAAGACAAGCTTCCTGCACACCCTGGCCAGGCCAGGCCTCCGCTCAAGGCCAAAAATTTTAATTATAGAAGATACATAAATCCCAGATACCAGAGCCTCTGCTTGGGTCACTGGGATGTGTGGCTGGCCTGCAAACCACCACAGGCCTCTCACCCAGGTCACCTTATGCCCCAAGGGAACATCCACCCTGATCTGGGACATTCTTCTGGGCAAACCAGCTGGCCCCCACCCGTGTAGCAGACCTCTATTCTATCTAATAAAAGAGTAATATGCAGATTGAACTTCATTTCAACAAACAAGATAGCTGCCCCATGTGAACACAAGATGGCTGCCACAAGATGGCCAGCAGGGGAGGCGAGTTGTGGACAATCAAGCCTGTAGGGGAGGGTAGTTAGGGGTGACCAGCCCGGCAGAGGAGGGAAGTTGGGGATAATGGCCTGCAGGGAAGGGCAGTTGGGAGTACCCAGGCCTGCAGGGGAGGCAGTTAGGGGTGACCAGGCCAGCAGGGGAGGGCAGTTAGGGACAACCAGGCTGGCAGGGGAGCAGTTAGGCATCAATCAGGCTGGCAGGGGAATGGTTAGGGGGCAATCAGCCTTGGCAGTCAGAAGTGGTTAGGGGCAATCAGGAAGGCAGGCAGGCAAGCAATTGGGAGCCAGCAGTCCTGGATTGTGAGAGGGATGTCCCACTGCCCATTTAGGCCCAATTCCTCGAGGGGTCCCAGATTAGAGAGCTAGCAGGCTGGGCTGAGGGACAACCACACGTTTCATGCATGAATTTTGTGCACTGGGCCTCTAGTAAAATATAATAATGCTCACCTTACTTTCAAAAAGATGGTTATAGGCTGTAACCAAATGGTCCTTGTTAGCTGTCTTGGCCACATTTTTAATGTTTCCTAATAACTTATGTTCTGCAAGAAACTATAAAGAAAAAAAGCTGGTTAGTAAAAACAATTTTCCTCATATAAAAAGGGTCTAAAATTACAAAATGATCTTTATTTTATTCATTGTTTTCAATAGTACTACTACTGATAGGAAAATGAAATATTGTATTTTATACCCTATTTCATAACATTTTAAAAAGAATGAAAAAAAAAAAAAACATATTGAGTACTCTATCCACTGAGCAATAACTGGTTTTGGCTCCTAGCTGCTTTTAGACAAGGGACTCAGTTTCTACATCATAGTGGAAGATTAATAATAGCACATACATCAGAGGGTTGTTGAAAAGATAATCCACAATAGAATTTACCTTTCTTTCAAATATAAGACTACCAAAATACTACTAAAATATCAAGTCATCAAAATTATTTAACTTCAATTCAAAATCGTGTGACATGGGGATTTTCATGCTTCCTTTTCTGTCTTGTGGTCCTTGCTTGATTCCTCATTTTCCTACTTTTTCAGTTGTTCTCTGACTCTTTGAACCTTTTGATAAAGCCATTTTTTCTAACACCATTCTTTAGATTTTCTCTACCACTCCTAGAGAAATGTTCTAATGATAAAGTCTGATGGGGAAAGGCTACTTTAATTAAACAGTTGCTTTAGCACTCTTGTGATTTCTTTAGAAAATGTTCCAAATATTCAACATATAAATACCTCCTTGGTATCTTATGATCAATAAACTGGTGAATATCAAGTACAGGTTTAAGTATGTGAGTGAACATTGGAGAATATACAGTTAAGCAAACGTTATAAAATATCTCCAAGTCTCTTAAAATTAGCCAGTTTTACATTAGATACCAAATTGGGATGATTTGTTTACCAGAATTTGATGAAGCACAGTTTTGAGGGATAACATGTTAATAAATGATATGCCTACTCTATTCTAGTTGAAGTATGAATTGGTTTAAAATAATTCCACTAAAATGGTATCCCTGGACCATGGTCTTTCTTTTTTCATTCTTGTTGTCCCCAAAATTGAGCATAGCTCCTGCAGTAAATGTTCAAACATTTACTGATTTCAAGATGCTTCTTCAGGAGCATGGAGATGGAAGATGGAGAATAATCCTACTCTCCTCGAAGTAAAAATCTACAGTCTTCTTAAAGAACCCAGAAACAATATTTCTAAACGCTAGCTTAGAAGTTAACAAGAACATTGTAGAGAAACCAGATACACACTGCTGCTTCTATCTGGGCGATGCCACGGGCATAACAAATTGTAGTCGTTCAACAATTTAAGACGTGTGACTGGTCCTCGTTTCTGAAGAAATTACTTGTGATAAGACATGGTTAAGATGGAGCCGAGGCTGAAAACCGCAGGGCGTGCATTATAAACATGAGAAACACTTTAGTCTGCTTACAATGGGAGAGCGCTGTACGTGAATCGCACAGAAGTGCACAGTGTAGAGGTGAAAAGGTCACGGTGGGAGTCTGAGTTTTTAAATTAAAATGGGAAGTTAGGAGTGTTTCTAATCCCATGCCTCAGTGTTCCGCGTTAGTGACTGAGGAGAAACCCAGTGGCACAGAGCTTCCCACAGAAGCCGCTCTTCCCTCCCCGCGGCCGCGCTCCCTCCGCCCCGGCGGCCCGGCGGCGCGGCCTCCGCGCACTCGGGATCCGGTGAGGCTCCAGCAAGGCCGCGGCTCCGGCAGCCGCCACGCGCTCCGCCCGCGCGGGAGGCCGGGCGGGGCGGCGCGGGCGCCCAGCGCGAGGCCTCTGCGGCCTCCAGGCCGGCGGCCGCGGGACGAGGGCGGGGATCGGAGGGATACGGAATCCACGAGCATCTCCGGGGGGGAGAGGCGTCCCTCTGCCGCCCCAGCCCGGCCGCCCCGCTGCCTCCGGTACCGAATCTGAACCGTGGTCCTGTAGAAACTTGATAATGTCCTTCTTGGGCAGCTGCTCGCTGCGCAGCTGCTCCACGGTCCAGGCCCGCTGTGGTGCGGCCGCCGCCATCTTCCCCCGTTGCAGCGGCTTCACTGAACCGGCCCGCGGCGGCGCGGCGCTGAGTGGGCGGAGCCACGATGCTGAGTGGGCGGAGCCACGATGCTGAGTGGGCGGGTCACAGCGCTGAGTGGGCGGAACCACGATGCTGAGTGGGCGGGGCCACGATGCTGAGTGGGCGGGGTCACAGCGCAACCGCGTGAGATGGGGCCGCCCTTGAGTGATGTCCTGGCAGCCCCTTGAGGGCTTCTTTTTTGAGTCCGAATAAAACCCAGCTGAGGTGACCCTTGCAGAAGATGGGACGCTGTCATCCATTCTTAGTTGGAACCCCTGTGAGGAGACCTCTAATATTTATTCACAATTGTTTTTAACGTCAGGCTACTATGTCTTTTAATATATATATTTAAAGGAAGTGCCTTTTATATTTTATTGATTTTAGAGAGAAGAAGGGAGAGGGAGAGATAGAAACATCAATGATGAGAGACAATCATTGATTGGCTGCCTCCTCCACCCAAAAACCAGCTTGTGCACCTGGGACCCTGCAGTTCACAGGCTGATGTGTTGTGGGGTCGAACCCTGGGTTCAAAATAAGACCACCGGAGGCTGATGATTTATTTAAAAAAAAAAAAAGCAGGCAAAGATTTATTGAAATATCTGGCCAGGACAGCTGCAAGAGCACCACACACAGACGGTCTCTACACGACTGCGAGGCTTTAGAGGCAGGTAGTTATTTTTAAAGGTTCTGAGAAGGAAAACTCCTATTTTTTTTTTTTTTTTTTTTTTTTGGTTTTATTTTTTATTTTTTATTTATTTTTTTTTTTTAAGCAATCTTTATTGTTCATATTATTACAAAGGTTCCTCATTTCTTCCCCCCTCCACCAGGTTCCCACCCCACCCTCCGTCCCCCCCTCATCCCCCATTGTCCTCATCCATACGTGCAGTTTATGTTCAGTCTCTTCTTCCCTCAATTTCCCCAATAGGAAATCCCTTTTCAGATAGTAAATCAGTTACTTAGCATTTTCTCATATCAATAATACCTCCACATGCCCAATGATACACTTCACACAAAAGACATTTCCCACTAGGTCAACCAGCCTCATCCAGGCCCCACCCAAGGCACTCACAGATCAACACCCCAGTCCTAAACTAACTCAACACATCCAGATCTAAGCCTTCATCACTTGATTCAGCAGACACTCAAGTTCCCACGAAAGTTTCCAGCCATGTCTGAGAAGCAGCCGTGGGGCAGGGGCAGGCAAGGAGCGAGCTGTTCTGGGCCTGGCTGCTCAGGGCCTGGCCTCTGTTGCTCTGGTTCATTCCACAACCAGCTGCTCCGGGTCTGGTCACTGCCGCTCCCAACCTAGTTGCTCTGGACTTGGCTGCTGCTGCTCCGGGCCTGGCCGCTCCCAGCCTGGCAGCCGCTGCTCCGGGCCTGGCCGCACCCGACCCGGCTGCTCCCCCGGGCCTGGCCGCTCCCAGCCTGGCAGCCGCTGCACCGGGCCTGGCCGCACCAGCCCCGCCTGCTCCCCCGGGCCTGGCCGCTCCCAGCCTGGCAGCCGCTGCTCCGGGCCTGGCCGCACCAGCCCCGCCTGCTCCCCCGGGCCTGGCCGCTCCCAGCCTGGCAGCCGCTGCTCCGGGCCTGGCCGCACCCGACCCGGCTGCTCCCCCGGGCCTGGCCGCTCCCAGCCTGGCAGCCGCTGCTCCGGGCCTGGCCGCACCAGCCCCGCCTGCTCCCCCGGGCCTGGCCGCTCCCAGCCTGGCAGCCGCTGCTCCGGGCCTGGCCGCACCCGACCCGCCTGCTCCCCCGGGCCTGGCCGCTCCCAGCCTGGCAGCCGCTGCTCCGGGCCTGCCCGCACCAGCCCCGCCTGCTCCCCCGGGGCCTGGCCGCTCCCAGCCTGGCAGCCGCTGCTCCGGGCCTGGCCGCACCAGCCCCGCCTGCTCCCCCGGGCCTGGCCGCTCCCAGCCTGGCAGCCGCTGCTCCGGGCCTGGCCGCACCAGTTCCGCCTGCTCCCCCGGGCCTGGCCGCTCCCAGCCTGGCAGCCGCTGCTCCGGGCCTGGCCGCACCCGACCCGACTGCTCCCCCGGGCCTGGCCGCTCCCAGCCTGGCAGCCGCTGCTCCGGGCCTGGCCGCACCAGCCCCGCCTGCTCCCCCGGGCCTGGCCGCTCCCAGCCTGGCAGCCGCTGCTCCGGGCCTGGCCGCACCAGCCCCTCCTGCTCCCCCGGGCCTGGCCGCTCCCAGCCTGGCAGCCGCTGCTCCGGGCCTGGCCGCACCAGCCCCGCCTGCTCCCCCGGGCCTGGCCGCTCCCAGCCTGGCAGCCGCTGCTCCGGGCCTGGCCGCACCAGCCCCGCCTGCTCCCCCGGGCCTGGCCGCTCCCAGCCTGGCAGCCGCTGCTCCGGGCCTGGCCGCACCCGACCCGCCTGCTCCCCCGGGCCTGGCCGCTCCCAGCCTGGCAGCCGCTGCTCCGGGCCTGGCCGCACCCGACCCGCCTGCTCCCCCGGGCCTGGCCGCTCCCAGCCTGGCAGCCGCTGCTCCGGGCCTGGCCGCACCAGCCCCGCCTGCTCCCCCGGGCCTGGCCGCTCCCAGCCTGGCAGCCGCTGCTCCGGGCCTGGCCGCACCCGACCCGACTGCTCCCCCGGGCCTGGCCGCTCCCAGCCTGGCAGCCGCTGCACCGGGCCTGGCCGCACCCGACCCGCCTGCTCCCCCGGGCCTGGCCGCTCCCAGCCTGGCAGCCGCTGCTCCGGGCCTGGCCGCACCAGCCCCGCCTGCTCCCCCGGGCCTGGCCGCTCCCAGCCTGGCAGCCGCTGCTCCGGGCCTGGCCGCACCAGCCCCGCCTGCTCCCCCGGGCCTGGCCGCTCCCAGCCTGGCAGCCGCTGCTCCGGGCCTGGCCGCACCAGCCCCGCCTGCTCCCCCGGGCCTGGCCGCTCCCAGCCTGGCAGCCGCTGCTCCGGGCCTGGCCGCACCCGCCCCGCCTGCTCCCCCGGGCCTGGCCGCTCCCAGCCTGGCAGCCGCTGCTCCGGGCCTGGCCGCACCCGACCCGACTGCTCCCCCGGGCCTGGCCGCTCCCAGCCTGGCAGCTGCTGCTCCGGGCCTGGCCGCACCTGACCCGGCTGCTCTGGGCCCGGCTGCCCCGGGCCCGGCCGCTCCGAGCCTGGCCACTCCCGACCTGAATGCTCTGGGCTTGGCTACTGCTGTTCTGGGTCTGGCTGCTCCCACCCCGGCTGCTCTGGGCCCGGCTTCTCCGGGCCCGGCCACTCCGGGTCTGGGTGTTCCTGGACTGGCCACCCTGGGCTTGGCCGCCTCCGCCTCATGCCTGGCTGCCACTGCCCCAGGTCTGGCTACTCCAGTGCTGGCTGTTGATGCTCTGGTTCTGGCTGCTGTTGCTCTGGGGCCTGGCCGTTGCTGCTCCGGGCCTGGCTGCCACTGCCTTGTGCCTGGCCACTCTAGGCCTGGCCGTCGCTGTTCCAACATTCTGTCCTTTTTTTTTCTTTTTAAAACGCATTTATGTTGCAATGTTGGCTGGTGAGTTGAGTTCTGACTTAGTCTTTGATTTTTCAAGATCTTCTTTGTATTCTTTCTTAAGTAATTTTACTATTTTTTGCTCTCACTTGATTTCTTCACATTGAGAACTTCTTTGATTTCTTCCTCCTTGTCCTGGGAGCTCAGCAGGTTGGCCTGTGGCACCCCTTTGTTCTCCGCGGGCTCCTGTGCTGCTTCAGCCTGTTGCCGGGACGGCGCCGCCCAGGAAGCAGCCCCCGGCCTTGGCTCCATTGCCCGAGCTCAGTGGTCAAAGGCTCAGGGGCACCCACGCCCCCAGGGGCCCTGTGGCCCGGCTCCTTGCTGGTGCCCGGTTGGCTGGAGTCTGGCAGGGGCTTCAGCTCCCCTCCGCATTCCCCCAGCCTACAGCTTTTTTTTTTCTCCTTCCCGCTAGGGAAGTCCAGCATCAGAGTCAACAGACTGTCCTCTGCGCGCAGTTTGCGCGAGTCCCACAGACTGTCCTCTGTGTGCAGTTTGCGAGAGTCCCGGGGGCCCGGCCTTTCGCCGCTCTTCCCGGACTCCACCTCACAGCCCCGTCTCCCTCTGCCTGAGCCTGGGTCCCCAGGGATTGGCCCAGAACTGGGGTTCGGAGCAGTCCAGACTGAGGCTCAGCGCCGCCGGAGGCCTTGTTTCTTCCGGCTAGGGCAACCCAGCATCAGAGTCAACATTCAGTCCTCTGCGCGCATTGCGCGCGACTCCCGGGGCCCTGCCTTTCGCCGTTTTTTTTCCGCCTCACGGCCCCGTCTCCTCCCACCGGAGCCTGGGTCCCCAGGGTCTGGCCCATAACTGGGGCTCAGCGCTGCCGGTTCGGGGGGGCTCAGCGCTGCCGGTTCGGGGGTTCAGCCCAGGCTGGGGGTTTTATTTCCTTCCTGCTAGGGAAGGAAAGGCGGCTCCCCGCCCTCTCCTCCTCTCCGGCTGCGACCTCTCCGTGCGCACGTGCGGGCGGGCAGGCGCGCGCAGCATGTCTCCGTACCTTAGGCTTTTTTTCAGCTCCTCTGATTTTCTTTCTGGTTTTCTCTTTCCTTCTTGTTGTAGAAATTTCAGTCAGTCGACTACCTGTAGCTCTGGGCAATGTCCACTCTACATTTTAGTTGTATTCCATTGAAATTGTTGTGTGCTGCCGCGGCTAGATGTCTACCCGAGCAGCCATCTTGGATCCTCCGGAAAACTCCTATTTTGCAACAAACTGTTGTTTGGAATTTTCTGCTGTTCTTCCTAGATAAAATGTTGCTTTCTAGTTTGCTTTAGTCCTTTTGAAGAATGATGAAGATAAACTTAGCTGTCTGACCTTGTAGGCCAGAGACCAGATATGCCCACAATCTCAATATCATGCCAGGTGCACCTTCTCAGTTGGATAGAACAGCTTTGTTTTTCAAGGCCAGCATCGAGATAACCACTAAGTGCACACAGGGCTGGCTCTTTAGTAAAAAAAAAAAAAAAAGAAAAAGAAAAAAAAAAAAAGGAAGTTTGCCTGTAA